AACATAAATTAGAAATTTCAACATAAATTTTAATTTAATCTGAAATTTCTACATCATTATAAAATCCACAATTTATTAGGAAATAAGGCAAGGTAATTAAACCCATCGCAAACCTTGCCCAAAGTTACTAAAAAACCACGAATCGATGTTCACGGGTTTTTCACCTTAATTTCCGTTATGATACCGCGTAGCGCCAGTGTTTTAGATACAAAGTCAACACACCTTTAATTGTTATTAAGTTATGAAAAATATTGTAATTAATTATTATTAGTTATGATAAATATTGTTAGGTTCAAATTGAAATATTTAATATAAATAAGAATCAATTTGAATAATAAAGCCAGTATCAAACAATAATAGTTTCTACTCATTTAATTACACAAAGTAGCCATTTGTGATAATTATCCCCAAAGTTCTTCCCTAAGGGCTTTGTAGTCGTTATCTTGGTTCAAGATAACTAGTGACTTTCAGGCAATAATTCCTGGACGTCACGCACAGAGATACGGACCTTGGAGGCCTTACAACCCTCTAGTGAACTACATAAAGGGCCCAACTCTGTTCATGGTCCTTCGAGCCTAACCCAAACCAGCCTACAAAAAGTGCCGTTCAGCCCCCAGGACACAATCCGAGCCTGCGAGAGTGCCGTTCCGCCCTCAACAAGCAAAAAGTGCCGTTCAGCCCCCAGGACACAATCCGAGCCTGCGAGAGTGCCGTTCCGCCCTCAACAAGCAAAAAGTGCCGTTCAGCCCCCAGGACACAATCCGAGCCTGCGAGTGTGCCGTTCCGCCCTCAACAAGCAAACCAACAAGGCCCCAGTCGCCGCTCAAATCAACAAGGCCCCAGTCGCCGCTCAAACCAATAAGGCCCCAGTCGCCGCTCAATCAACAAGGCCCCAGTCCAGTGTCTCATCAAAGCAATCGGACTCTGGTTAATATCTTGAATTCGGGAACAAATAGAAAAAACTGAGAAAGTCACTTGATTCTCTAGCCACAAAACGGTTCAAGATATCATAAAATTTTAGCCTCAGAGTGGGGATTGATTTTTTAGTATCTCGCTCAGAAATTGATGTTTTCTATCAAAAGTGTCCAAATTGGACAACCCTGCACATATCGCAAAACCGAAAATAACAAATGAAACTACCCGTTCCAAATAAAAATATAACACAATTATTATCTGATAAAAACAAAACAATAAATTGAATAATAGTGTAGCTTGGAAATTTTTCTATAACATTTTACCTATTGGAAAATTTTTCCATGAACTTTTATTGGAAAATTATGTTATAAAATGTTTCTATGATTTTTTTAAAAAATTTAGTAGTTTTTGAGGCTCTCAGGGGGCCCCGCACCCCCCCTCTATCCGCCACTGAGGACCTGTTGGAAGGATTGGAAGGAGGAGGTTAACACTGTCAGGTACAGTGATGGGAAAGGGATCAAAAAAACAAAAACTTTTGATGATTTTCTCAAAATTATTCATGATGTTATTTATTTTGTTTAAAATCGATTTTAAATCACATGTACTTTTGCACCTGTACAAATGAGATTTTCATCAAAATTAGAGACACATTTAAATCTGGCCATTTTTTTTGCAGATTCGTTTAGAGATTAGAAAGACCTTTCAAACCAGGTATCACATGACCTATAGTAACGTTTAAGATTTTGAGGCAAGGATGGCTATCGCCGGAATGCTGCTTCGGAAAGAGCTGAAAAGTACCTTGTTTTGGTTCCTCCTTTCAACCCTCCAAACGGGTTTTTGGTTTTTTTTTTAATCGATTATCGTTTTTAAGATATAGGCCCTTGACAGTTTTCGGTAGGACACCCAGATTAAGGCGGCGTTCCGTATCTTAACCAAAGTTACCGAATGGTTACCGATCGGTAAGGAGCGGTTCGTCTATGGTAACGGTCTGGTTCCTGAAAATGCGGTTTATGTGTGGAACGTTTCGGTTCAGCTTTGGTTTGGCTTAGATACTAGATGATAGAATATTATCGTCTTAAAAATATATTTGAAATAAGCAATTGTCAGGAATGAATGTAGTATTCACCTCTTGTCCCATTTTCACCGCGAATACATGTTCAAAGCGAAAGAAAAATAAAAAAATTAAAAAATGATCACCTAACCTAACAAACAAATGTCAGAAATTGAAAACAAACTGAAAAAAGCTTTTTGATCCGTAGATTCGGTTGACAGTTGGAACCGAATTTTTCAGGAACCGCGTTTCATAACCTAACCAGATTTCAGGAGTGGTTAGCTTACGGAACGGGAACCGGAAAAACCAAGAATCTTGGTTAACTTACGGAACGTCGCCTAATACTCTCAGTTCTATTGGCATTTGGTGAGCTAGAGAAGATGTAGACCAGAGATTAATTTGAAAAATGTAAATTCTTAGTATGATAAATCTTTATAGGGAAAATATGATTGCAAACTGGAATGAGCGAATGTAATTTATAAAGTAATTCGTAAATTTGCTGTTTATTGTTTATTTAATGGCCGTGGCTAAAGTAACAGAGGTGTTACTATAATTATTTTTTTAAAGTAACATCAGTTCAATGACGTCACTACTGATGTTACTTTAAATAGGGGTTATAGTACCTAACAGAAGTGTTTACTCTAATTATTTTCTTGAAGTAACGTCAATATAGTAGCAATATATGGAAAAGGAAGGTGGGTACTTTCTTTAACAATTTAAACTAAGTAAAGGTGATATTCAACAACATAACAATAATATTTTATTTTTTATAAACCGAAAATTTGAATCAACATATTGATAATACAAATCTTTTGTCAGAAAAACGGCGTCTCCATATTCCTATTCCTTACATGCCCTTACAAAGGAACGGGAGTGTAGGTATAGTTCTCTCCTGCAGGTGAAATTCGATTGTTTACCTTTTTATGAGTGTGCAAAGTGAAAATTCAGTTTTTCATTTTTAATCATTAGCGGTATAAAATAATGGCCATCAACTTCAAGCATTTTTTTTCAGCAAATGAAGATAGGTAATTTCTTAATTTGGAGCTAAAACTATGATAATCTACAGCGAAAAAAACTTCTGCCTCGGAAGGAAAATAATTTACTTTCCTCCATAGGGAGGCGAAATTACCATTTTCCTATCTGAAAAAAAGGTAACAAATTGTCACTTTCTGACAGTCATAAGAAAATGTGTCTTTCCTGCCTTGCCTGTGCCTGTTTTATAAGTATTCTATTCTATTCTTCAAAGTCAAGTCAGGTTATTTTTTATTTATTTCCATTTTTACTCTAAAACAAATGCCAAGAACCAAGAATATCACCTTTACTTTAAATTGCTAAAGAAAGTAATTACCTATCTACATATTGCTATATTGTACTTCAAGAAAACAATTACTTAGAGTAACACCTCCCTTACTATTAACCCCTATTAAAAGTAACATTTTCATCAGTGACAACATTGAATTGATGTTACTTTAAAAAAATAATTATAGTAACACCTCTGTTACTTTAGCCACGGCCTTATTTAATAGAGAGAACATAACCTAATAAAACAACCACAAATAAAACCTATAAAGGGGATGGTTGTTCAGGTCAATTTAGATCCTCTATTTTGAACTCTTCACACCCATCTTGAACGATCATGTCTAATTTCCGGTATTTTCTTCTTCAAACCCAGATATCAATTTTATACTTTTTGCACATGGCATGAACATGGTTTCTTAGAATAAGCTAGTACCTACTATGCACATTTTTCAAAGTTTATAGTATTGAATTACTGTCCACGCTAATAACATGATTTAAAGGTGATAGTATTATTCTAAATAGTATTTATTTCACGGGCTTGACACGTTCTTAAAAGCGAACATGGAGTTTATTGAAAATACGTTCTGTGCTTATTCTAAACTATACTCCTGGACAAAATTATCGCACCACTGCACATAAGCACCACCATAAGCAGTGGTGCGATAATTTTGTCCAGGAGTATATATAGATTGATTTAATATTCTTTGTACGTACTATGTACTATTTACATTAGACAAATTTTAAGTATTTTCAATATATTCTGCTATATTCACGCGCACATAAAATTATAGGTATGTATACTTAGGCTTTTCACATAATTTTCTTGTTATATTCTGTTCATTAGACATACATGTGTTTGAAATGGAACGTGAAATGTCTATTTATGGTACGCACCATAAACGCCAGCAAACTGGCGAACTCTGTATAAAATTCACATTGTCTAAATCTGCTGAAAATATTCCTAAAATGATGTACGTAAAAGAACTTATTAGGGAGCATATTTTTTAAACCTATAATATTCGGTTTCGCTGTCTCGGAACTAATTCAAGTATATTATACCTACTTATGCCATTAGAATTGATATTATTTACTTTCTCGGTTAAAAACGTCAATTTGATATGTTTTCAATTCAATGAGTTGAAATGTTGCATTACTTATTCCTAGTACTTTTCACACAATTTCCATTTTGTGATTTGAAGTCTTGCTCCTACAAGTGCTAAAAAATGAAATTAGGTTTGAATTTATTCTACCAAAGAGAGTGGATAATCTATTGTGCTCTTAGATTTCCAAAATTTCTCAAGCAGCTCACACAAAAGGAACATACAAGTTTGTAATGAAAATCCTGATTGCTGAGATTCCCATTTTTTATGCCTGAGTATTGATTATTGTAGAAATTATTAATGTTATTCATCAATATAGTGTATTTTATTGATTTTATCAATGTATGTTTCACGTTTTTCACATGACATGATTTATCAACCTTTTCTGTTATGCACCCGTCGTGAAATACGTTTTGGTAAGTTTTCATCCCTACATTGCTTTTAATTTTTCTTTTTAGTGAATAAGATTTCAACTTTCTTTTTCAATAGTATTTACATTTTAGCAAGCCGCATTCCAAATTAATAGTTTACTCATTATCCAAATTTTGTAGCCGACTAAAATAATATTTATTAAATTGTCTAGATTTGCCAAAAGTGTACCTAATAAGTATTATTTTCACCTTTGTATTTTCCAGGCACAACAACCGCTTACAAATGGTCAGCATGATCCCGTTTAAATCTAGTGGATGCTCAATTGAACACTATGCTCATTTCAAACTATTGTGGACGATTTTTCAGTAAAACCTTCATGAAAACGGACCTTCTGTGACGTTTAATAACTATTAGGCAATTTAGAATATTGTTAGTCAGGTGATTTATAAGTTTAAATTAAAAATAAGACACTCCATTTGGCCAAATAATACTCTCTAGATGATTTTAGACCGCATTTTATTAGGTTTTGGGAAGTAATTTTTAAAATAAAATCAAAAAAAGAAAAACATTTTGGGTTTTTGTTGTATAATCCAAATTTGATTTGAGAGGCCAGTGGAAAATGTAGTACAGATTTAGTTTCTATTTATTCTTCAAGGGTTTAAAAAAATTTGGTTCCTATTTTATGATGATAGGTATATTGAGTTTTTAAATGGAAAAGTCAGTTTTGGAACTTGAAGAAAAACATTCACCATATGCTTTAGAATTAGAAAGTCCATGTGATCATTGTAAGACCTCAAATTGCATATGGATTTATGATCTTTGTATGTATGCTATATTTTTTACTGAAAGTCCAGCTAATATTGGATGATTTTAAAGAAATCTATACATTTCTTCATACTCTTGGAAAGAGTTTTTGTAAAGCAAGGCGTATTTAAATATAAGACATCCATAATACTCTTTAGAGATTCATATGTTAGCTTAATATTTCTTTGTTACAAGTGGCAAATATTCTGTGATTAATTTATTTATGTACGTTTACACATAAGATGTTTTTTACTATTTAGATTGATTTTTAAATTATTATTTTTATTTATATTGTCTGTTCAAAAAAAAAATACTGAAAATGCAATATATGTATTGAAAGTACAATTTTATAAGCGTTTGTTTACTTAATGAGCTACCTACCCATTATCCTATTTTTAAATTATAGTCCAAGAAACGGGGATCTGAAAAGAGGATTTACCTCAACATAATTAGAAGTTAAGATTTTTTTTGGGGGATTGGTCCATTTTCATGTGCTAAATAACATATTAAACGACCTTGTACTTCCATAGTGTTTTTAGTTAGTGATGTTTTTTAGGGGTAATTCGCGGTTTATGGGGAACGCTGCTCAAAGGGATGGGTCCAATAGCAAAAAGTTTCAAATAACTGTTGTAGCTGAAGTTTTTTGCTATAACAAACTCGGCGACAGCACCCCTTTATCTTCTGTAGTTTTTTTTCTGCAGTGTCTTGAATAGTATAAGATCTTCACATTCTTAAAAAAAAGTCATAATTAATTAAACCGCACAGTGAAATGAAACACATTTAATGAAATGCAAACGACTTATTCCGTGTTTAGTATATGAATCGATCATTTTTGTAATAAATATTTAACGATTTCTAACTTTGCTGTTAATAATAATTTTGGCATTCAAAAATTCAAATGTACAATTTGTATTTTTACATAAGTTTCAAATCGAAACACTAGTATTGGTAGTTTTTGGTTCTGCTGACTTTTGAGGAGGTAAAATTTGCACCCATTACTCCTAATTACTTTTTTCTACGAATCGATTAAGCAGGCAAGTATTGTAAAACCCTTAGCAATGAACATGGTTGGGACCGAATTTACTCATCGATAAAAGAGTATAAAATTTTTAATTTATTCTGTTTCTAAGAAGTACTGTTGTGATAAAATGTATCCTAAGTTATTTGGCAATTTTTTATTTTTTTTGATTTTCAATAATAAACAATAGGTATTGTCCGTCGTTTTTAAACTGACACTTTCCGTATGAGGAGCGAGAGGGTAAAGCATATGGCAAAAACAGGTGTAACGTAAGGTAACCATTGGCGTTCTAATGTAGGGTGCCAGCAGCTCACATTCCTTTGGAGTATCAGAATAAAATCGACGGACTTAATATATTTTTGTTTAAGAAACCTCAATAATAATTTATCGTTATCGTAAAAGTTTTGACCACTCCATCTGCCAAGTTTTGGTTTTCAGTAATTTTGGTTAGCTATGGTTAGATTAGACTATAATAAGTTAATTTAATACATTTATTCGCATAATTATTTATTGAACTGCATTATGAAAAATTATTGATCCGATGATAATGGCGTGGATTCATTTATTTAGTTTCCTTTTTTTTAGTGAAGTGATTTTTCAGTATGCTTCTGCAAGTAAGATCTTTTATCACTACCAGCAAAGCAAAGTTTACCTAATAGGGACCGTCAAATGGGGTTAAGGGCCGGTATTATAAAACACTGAACCGATGGTTGAGTTTCAACCTTCGGTTGAATCCTATCAATTTGCATGGAGTCAACCGAGGGTTGAAACTCAACCATTGGTTCAGTGTTTTATATATAATACCGGCCATAAGTGAATCAAAAATTGCGGTTTTTTGTTGATATCTTTGAAGCCATCAGAATGAAAAATATGCAAAAAATAATGTATATTCTACCACCCTTTCAACAACATATTGGCCCTTTTTGAGTATGGGAACCGCCTTTTTTTCTGGGCAAAGGTTGATTCACTTTACCCACCAGTGCGGGATAAAGTGAATCACCCGTTCAAATTTGCGTTCACTTTCAGACTAATAATGGGCATAGTGAACCAGTTCACCAGGTTTAGAGAAGTGTATTTTGTTCAAAAAAAGGTTTAACGCAAAAAAAGAACATTCTCCGCTAATTAACGATGAGTGCTCAATTTCCCTGATATCATTTGATTTTAGAGGAAACCCCCACTGTGTGCACTGTGCATATTTGAAAAGAGTCCTTGATGCGAGCTTCTTTTTCCTCATTTAGCACAGGGTGGCGACCATATTTTAAAGAGTGGATTCCATATGAATAGTGCAAAATGGCACTCCAGATTGCTTAAGTTTTGCGCATGGACAAGCTTCCCCGTCAGACTGCCGTCACTGCTCTTTCTACATAAATTTTGCCGTAAATGTATTTACCCTGAGGCCCCAACTTTTTTTTGTAGTTTCTAGGCATTTTAAAAGGGGGGAGGAAATAAGGGTAGTTTTCGTTGTAGTCTCTTAAAACATAGTTATTCCAAATTTCCGATAAAATTAATATCAATTTACTCTCCTGTTGATTCTTGTTTATTTTTGTTTCATATTGCAGCTGATTCATTTTACCCCCTGTTGTGTTCATTTTAGGTTAAAAAAATCATATTCATGCGACTATATAAGTAAACTCAAAAAAACCTTCGGGAATATGTTGCCCACATAACTGGGCTACACTTGTTATCAGTCATATATCCAAAACACATACCCCTTTGCTCCTACAACTAAACCCTTTCGACTTTTTCCCATATCACAAAAAAACCCGCGTTTAAAATACGTTCATGCTGGCTCTCATATTTTCAAAACCGACGGCATACTACCTCATAATCATCAGTAAGTCAAAGTATAAAGTACGAATATCATGTAAACACCGAAAAGAGCTCAAAAAAAAGGAGTCTGCGCATTAGAATTTAACAACCCATCTGGGTGATTCACTTTAGGTACCACTGGCGTAACTAGCCATCTGACCTGGGGGGGGGGGGGGGGGGGCTAGGGTGGGCCTGGCAGAGGCGTCGATTTTTGAAAGTCCTTATAGGTGCAGGATAATATTTTTATAAATTTGTTTATAGGGGAAGGGGGAAGTTCGGATGCCACGCCTAAAAACGTCTATTTTATAGTGTCTACAGTGTCATTACTTAAGTGTGCAACATATGGGATTTTTTTTTAGTAATAGCAAAATCAAAATACAAACAAGGCCAAAAGTTAGTGCATGTCTGATAATCATGTTAGGTGCACTCAGAATGGTTGCAAGTCAAACAGCATACAGGGTGGCTCAAAAAATATCAAAATTCTACTAATATTTACTTAAATAAAATAAAACTTTTGCACTTTAAGGAGAGTTTTTTTAATATGGCTATTATCATAAGTAATGTTTTAACTTGTTAAAAAAAAAATTGCGACATTTTAAAGTTGTGTTGAATATCATTGCAACAAACATGAATTTTGTGATTCCAGAAAAAATTAAAAATCTAAGTTAATTTTCCAAATATGCTTGAATTTGAACAAAGTTATGTAAAATTGATTTGATTTTAATTAATTTTTGAAAGTATTAAGGGCAGAAATAAAAATTAAAAAAAATATAGAAATTATAGATTTTTTTCGAAAGAAAATAAAAAAATTTTTAGGAGGCTATGTTTTGGTATTTAGGCATAACTTTTAATTCCACACAACTTTTCTCTATAACATTTTGCTGAATTTTCTAAAATAAGGGTACTTTACAGTACCAGCTTTGATATTGTTTGAGCTACCCTGTATGCTGTTTGACTTGCAACCATTCTAAGTGTACCTAATATGATTATCAGACATGCACCAACTTTTGGCCTTGTTTGTATTTGGGTTGTGCTATTACTAAAAAAAATCCCCATATGTTGCACACTTAAAAAATCACACTGTATATTTTTCTATTTATTTCTACGAGTGTGCGAAAAGTGCTTTTTTCTGCACGCATTTTAAGCTATGAAAAAATCACTTTTCTGCACTAGTGCGGAAAAGTAAAATAATTATGCAATGTAAGGTTACCCTGGTACTTTTATGTCCTAGAATGCCTCATGTCCTGATTATTATCAAAGAATAGAGATGGATAATAGCAATATTAGCAATATAAAGTAATAAGAGCATAAAATTGACCACAAATAATGAAATGATAGAATACTAATACCTCCCTAATCTAAGACTAATACCACTTGTATAATTCTTATACAAAGTTGTGTAAATTTAAATTACATGATACTGATACTACCACACGGAACGGAATGACCAATAAATACGTTTGTTCTTCCGCATTTCCCACGAGAGCTCCGAGCACCCATATGAGAGGTTGCTCATGGGAGCACCTGCCCCAATGCCCCCATGTAGTTGGCGCCAGTGGCCTGGGGCCTGTTATTGCGACTTATTAGAATCTTTAAAAAAGTATAGAACATTGCATTATAGACAATTAGCTAGCTAAACCGGGCTTAAATCACTTACCTAACTAACCCAGCTTATCAGCCACTGTATAGTATAATATCAGCAACACCGATTCACGGATTCATAGGAAAAATATTTAGTCAAACCCCCAAACTAATCTGTTATAATGCTAATTTAATGGCTTTGGTATACTGTATCACTTCTGCACATGGCACACAGCACCCTGCGTTGGTGGATGGGAGGATCGGATAGGGTCGATCGGGATCGCCGCTCATTACCGTTGAAATTTAGAAGGTAATAACATAAAATTTCAATAGGTAACGTAGCTTTCATAAAATACCAAATTATTGAAGTTTTTTCTGGGGGGGGGCTAGCGACGTCTGGGGGGGCCGCTTCCCGTAGGCCCCCCTGTAGTTACGCCACTGCACTTTACCCATATTGATTCGCTTAGCCCCGTTTGACGATATTTGTGCACATTTCTTGAACTAAACTCACAGAAATTCCTGCGAATTTTGGCTTGGTTAGAGAGTTCAAAATACCGCAGCAGAAATCTCTCCGAGATTCTTTTCAAGGTTGTCTAATTTAATTTAAATGCTCTCTATGGCGTTAGTCGCTGGACGCTGTGTGAGGAAAAATTGCTAGTTGCTAATGGACAGATTGGGAAAAATATCCCTGTTGATAAAATCGTACTTCTCAATAAATGATAAATATCACGAGACTATAAATCGATAAACGTACTTTCTTCACAGTGAATAACTAAGTGCTATAACTGCTGTTACAGCAAGAGAAATGTAAGAACAATAGTAGAAAAGTAGGTCATTCCATAAGGCACTTTAAGCGTAACATCCGGCATGTGGCTCATATAAGAAAAAATCTATCCTCAGATGTTTTGTCATGATGATCCATCAATCTTACCTGATGCATATTGGAAAGAAAAGCCAAGTAAAAATTCAAACGGCAAAGCAAAGAGTCACCAAAGCACGCTTTAAGTAGCAGAGTTCCGCAAAACATAACTTTTTTTTCGTGTAACAGTAGCGTACCTATCTGTCTAACTTCAAAAATTCAAGATGGCCACACTTTATGGAACAGTCATAGCCTGGACCCCAATATCACCAGTTTACGTACATAGAGAGCAAGATCGTCAAAGTTAGATTTTCTGCCAGTTGTTTTGAGTCGAGCTTTTCTTTTTCATTACTCTAGGTTTTTCCGGTTTTTTCTTCCAAACTTTTTTGCATTCTTAGTTTCAACGAAAACTTCATGTTATTTTTCACCAATAGAGTATGTGAATAGCTATTCCATTTCCGACTTTTTTCTACTATGTTTAAATATTTTAAAGGACAATTAAATATTCACATTTTGATTTATAGAATGTGAAACAAAACCTTTGCGGAATGTTTCATCTAAAACCGGTCATTTATTTGATTGGCTTCTCAGTGATGCAAAAAAATGTAAAGATACTGATTTTGAATATCCACGCTTTGACGGTTGGCATCATAATTTGGCTAAGCCAGAACAAGGATCTGTGGGTTAGTATACTTCTCATATTCTATAAATTCAGGAAATTTCCGGCATCAAAAATGTTCGTAAAACTAGAAGTACCTAATATAGGTGAGTGTTCAAAAAAGTTTTTTTCAAGGAGAAAATATATTACGAGGCTGGTCAGGTATAAAAAAAAGCAGCTTTGATAAAAACAGTTGGTATTTTGCATTAAATCAATTGCCTCTGCAACGGGCCTCATTCAAGAAAGAAATCAATTCAATTACTTTACAACTTGGTAAGACTACTTTTTGAGTGGAGTATTTCACACTGATCCTTTTTTTTAGGTAAGCAAATTGTTCAAGAAATTTTTGATATCGGAGATCCGACCTGTGCTGAAAGATATTATTTTAATAAGCCAAATCACGAAGTAAGGATTTTTTATAACCAATAATAAAAATAGATAGGGACCTACCTTTATGTTTTATCTAGTGAAGTTTTTTTTTTCGCTTCTAGAAAAACTATGCCACACCTTATATTGATGGAGGAGTAATTTATGGTACTAACGATAACCACGACCGATTATCAGGAACTATCGATATTGAAATGAATACTTTTAATAACTTCACATGTGTAGATATTCTTCGAACTTTTTGGATTAAATGCCACAATTTGATTGCTGAAAAACTACTTAATAAGTGTAGGAAGTGGTCAAAAGCCAAGGTAATTATATGAAATGCCTTAAATGCAATATTTAGACAGCGGGTTTGAGTAAAATAGAGCGAATTCCTTCCTATGATTTTTACCCCAGGGTATCAAAATCTGGCCAACTGTATCCCAGTATACCTATTCGTGTACGTAGCACGCTGCCCAAGTGGTCTCTATTATTCAGTTAGATGCGGTCACTGGCGAGCGGTCTTATTGATGTTTAATTCTTTGGGTAGCTACAACTAAAATTGTGGAGGGGTACTATTTGCAAATGAGAGAAACAACTGCAGTGAGGTTTTCATGACATAAACTTTTATTACATGAAATTATTATAGCATTTTTAAATAAACCTAAAATTCCAAACGTCTGCTTTTTGCAGCCACCTCTTCTATTCGCTTAATTCGCTAACCCGCTAACCCCAGACCAGAGTAAATCAAATCTGTCTTCCCTAATTAATCCTAGTCATTCTGACTTTAAAAACTTTTCATTATTTTTATTTTTTTTTAAATTTAACTCACCCCCCGAAATTTGTTTGTTGCCAATACCTTTGTATAAAGGTACCTAAATGTTCATTCTAAAATGATTTAAATAGATGGAGCAATGTTGTTCAATGACTGTTACACAGTTCAATTTTTCATTAGTTAAAGCCCAAAACATACAACAGTCAATTTCACTTAAAAACTCTTCAGAAATTCTTATGAATTATAGGCAATAGTCATTTACTTTATAGATATTTCCCGAAATATACCCTATAAGCAAAAATAATCAATAGTCATTGCAATAAATAGGTATTTAAATTCTAAAGTCTCAATTTTCTATATGTACTTACAATATTTACTTACTCTCCTGTCCTAGGGTCGGTTCGACAGTTCAAGTGTATAGGATATACTTGAATTGTCAAACCGGCCCTAAATTATACTAACAAATATTTTCTTTTCATAACTTATAGAGCGCACCTAATTTAGATTAACCTTTTTTAATTTTCTTTCAAACTTCTCGATACGCAACTATAAACTGAAAATACTCTTCGCGATTTCTTCACTTCCTCAAATTCTCACGTACAAGACCCGATTTTAAGCGCGAATTAAATTTTGTCCGAGGCGTTGCAAAAAAAAAACCCTTCACGAGTTTTATCTTTATTGGACTTGACAGTTTACTCTTCGACTCTCGACTCTGAACTGTGGACTGTACCGTCTAGGCGTCTAATATCTGATTTTATTCCTCAAATACTCTCGGTCTCTACCATGGTGTATAAAGAATTAATGTGATTTCGATACGTTGACCTAGTTTCCCGTCCAGCTATTTCTAAGAATTTTTTACCCGACGCGCAAAGCTGTGCAATTGCATTCTTAGAATCCGGCCGGGCTCCCGAGGCAATTCTATATTTTATATTGATTAAATTGTTAAGGAATACAAATTTGACTCGGCCAACTTATACTGATTATCTAAATGTCTAAATTTTAAGCACCAGATCACGAACGTGCATATTTTAGATAGTTTATAGGCCTCTACACATTTCAGGTATACAGTGAAGCTCGGAAATTTACAATAGCTTTACAACAAAACATATATGCTTACGATTGGTTGCCAGCTTGGACGGGCGGAAAATTGAATAAGTACAAAAGGTACGATCCAATGGCTAATCCACAAATTGAGAAATTATTCCAAGCTGCAACGTTTTTACTACAGCATATTACGGAACTGAATCTTGAGCATCATTACAACGAACGGAGAGTAATTTTTTTGGAAAACCTATTTATTTTTTTCTATAGGCGGTTTTTTTTTTAGAATTATAAATGGAATTCTGATAACCTTCTAAAAACTATATACGGAGCTCAATATTCATCAGTTGATCCTGAATTCAATTTTGTAAAGGATGAAAAACAATTCTATGATATTCCAGACATCAATCATGCCAGAAGAATTTTCAAGTTACCACCGTATGGTAATTGGAAAGAATTCTCAAAAAATACTGTAAAAGAGGACATGCTCATCACTAATTTAACCAAAAATGATAATCTGAAGCAAGTCGATTCATTGCTAGGGGGAATTGTTGAGTCTACAGATGGTCCAGGGCCGTTATTTGCAGAAGTTATTGTGGATCAGTTCAGAAGAATTAGAGATGGCGATAGGTTTTGGTTTGAAAATGAACAAAACAAGTAAGTGAACTAGGTAACCAGGGCTTTTCTTGCGTCACATTTTAAACAACAGCAAAAACTTTGCTCATCTACATCAAAAAGAAATACTGCGTTCATGATATCAGCGTTAAGTGTTATCGCTGTGTTTTTGCTCGGGTTTACGTGTTTTTTGGAAACTTTGTTATCGCTGGACTTGAACCCGCGTTTACGCTCTTTTCTTCTGGGTTTTTCACGTGAGCCCCTCGCAATGATTTTTACCTTGTTTTTACTCTAGCACAAAGACAATTAATAGTGCCTATTTGCGTAATGGCACAAAAGTTGACGAGGTGTCGACTTATTCAATTCAATTCAATCTGCTCGTAATGACTATCTGGAGTAATTCCCTCATGAAGTTGTGGACCATAAAAATTTTCATTTGCAACTGTTCCGGACGGAAATGATAGCAGTCGGACTTGGAGACATGTCATACCATTTTTGAAAAAGATTTAGAACTTCTTGCCTATAGCAGTGCAAGAGTTGAAGCCCTCAGATCTTCCCCCACGCTCTATACTACCAATGATTCATGGACAATCTGTGCGATAATCCACATATTTCACTAACATTAAGCATAGTTTCATAAAACTGTCTAATAAACTCCCAAAGTATAAGAATATAGAGGGCCGACAATCCTCATGCGTTACTTGAAACGCGTTTGCATCCTGAAAAAATAGGTGTCACCCCATCTGGGCAGCAATTATTGCAAGAAAAATAATTGGACCCATACTTTTTATTGGTACCTACCTAATTTTCGATAACCGGGTTATAACCAGAAATACAGACAATCCTCATCCTTCATGGGACTTTTTCTTGTAGTCAAATTTCGAAAATTCAATATTTGCCACTCCGGCCAACGATTTAGATAGGCTTCGCCATCGAGTAACAAACAAAATCCAAGAGCATGCGGCATGCATACTATGTTTGCGTAATGTTTATTTATATCTTTGAAATGATGTTTCTCCAGTAGTCTATCATTCAGCTCAAGGGCGTACCCAGGATCTGAAATAGGGGGGGGCTGACCAAAAAAAAAAAAAAATGGATTTTGCATTTCTCTTTTTAATTACTAAATTTTGACATAACTCGCTTAATTTTTACTTCAATAACAATTTTCTTGGATTTGTCGCAAATTTATTTAAAACTTGATTTTCAAATTGCTCTCGATTTGATTTAATTAAATCACGATGCACACTCATGAGACATAATCCTGTTAACCTTTCCTCTCCCATGGTACTTCTCAACCAAGTCTTCACTCTTCGAAGAGTACTGAAGGATCGTTCTACAGTGGCCGTGGTGCATGGAATTGTGATTAAAATCAAAAGTGCCTGTTTTAGGATGGGATAAAAAACATCGGTCTCGTCGAGAAGGTCAGTTATTTCGACGTCTTTTAGCTGGTCCTCAGTTGACTTTTTTCCTTCCACATATTATACCATAGGTCCATTTCCGCAGTAATATCGTCCAATTTATAAAACTGGGTAAAATATTGTGCATTTTGTTCTACTTGATTGGTTTCCATGTCGAGCATATATAATGGATGTATTTTTGTTAAGGCAAACGCTGGAGTATGTTCTTGAGAAAAGCGAATATTTAAAGAGGCTATAATTGAATCCAGATACGGTATAATTAACGAACGCTTCCAGTAGTCACTATCACAGACTGATGGAGGATTGTTTCTATGTATTTGCCTCTTGGTAATTCGAGGGATAGAAATTTCTATTTCCAATTCCAATGCAAAGTCTAGTGCTTTTTTAAGTACTTCATCAATAACTAGGTCGGCATCTTCACGGTTTTTCTTCAGAACGTTAAGGATTACGTTCAGATGTTCTTGCAACTTAATTAAATCCATAGTTTTTGCTTGCAAGGCATTAACAACCGGCTCCAGTAAAGCTGAATATTTTGCAATTATAGTTAGGGCAACAATTAGTGAGGGTTTGGTAACGGCGGCATGCAACTGGTACGCAGATTTTCTCGTGGCGTAGTTTCCTTCGATAGATAGTTTTTCAAGTGATTTCACAATTTCGAGGAAATTTTGTGCAAATAAGCGAATACTTTTGTATTTTTCAGACCATCTAGTCTCACACAGTCGTGATAGATTAGGAGCGGAACTTCTGCGAGTGGTGGATTCCCTGAAAAAGGTTATAACATCCTTTACGGTGCCAATAGTGTTTCTAATTTCCGGAACATTATTTGCATCATTGACAACAAGATTTATTTTATGGTTTGAGCAATGAAAAAATAATGCTCGTGTGTACTTTTTCCTTAAAATCGCTTGTACGCAAATGACTGGCATCGGCTGCAAAATCGTAATTCTTGGGTGGAACCCACGGATTTTTTAACAACTCTTTTTTTCTTTCCATCGTCAGGTGAAATGTTTGTCCTACATAACGACCCAAGTCATTTTCGTGGCAACCATCATTCTCTTCAATTTCGGGATTGACTACAGAGCCAGATGTTGACGGTAAAGATTCTAAATTAGAAGCAGTGACTTTCTTAGATCTCAAAGAATTTAGCGGTTGCTCAGATTCAGATTCAGTTTTAGATGGGCTTGGCGATGAAATTTGATCATTGTTATCATCGCTCCCGCTGCTACTGTCATGTTCTTTTTTCCTCTTGAGAGTTTTAGTAGCTGCAAAACACAATAATGCCGCTATTAGTATTTTATACAGTGTGAGTGATATCCATGTTAGTGTTTTGTTTAACATGTAACATGGAAAAAAACATTTTGTTTTTTTTAATTGGAATTTACAGATATTACACAAATGTCGTCGAATGTAACTTACTAACTGTAACTTACCTGTTTGAAAAAATTTCCTGATATCCATTTATCAGTGTGGAGATACCGAGATGCCCAAAATAGGTAGATTCAGCAGATTTTCCAATAAGTACTGTAACGTTTTTAGCGTGAACTTGTTCGACTACGATGTGATAAAAGCTGCCAATTAATTAAAACTATACTTTTATTAACACTTAACTAAAATTCACTCTGATTAATTTAACTAAACACACTAACTAGTTTATGTAACGCCTTGTATCTTGTATTTATTTATAAAAGTATTCTATTCTTCAACCCGGCACTGGCGAAATCTGCCCTCGCCGCCCGACATTGTTCCTTTTATATCCGAAGCGCCTGCTTCTCGAAGATTCTCTCCGCAGCACGTACGAAGCTTCGCGCTGCGTCTCGAGAATTCTCCACGCGGCCGGGAAGAGTCAGAGGCGGACTCAGGGTAATTTTCGTTACAGTACAATCTAATATAAATTTCTGACAATGTTTACTAGTGTAACGTAACTGCTAACAACATAGCATAGACGTTTATCAACAACTAAGTAAATTAAGTTTACTTGCAGTACTTGCACAAACAAATTAACATTGAATAACAAATGAAAATAATCGAATTCCGTTAGAAAAACAACACAATACAACAAATTCGCAGGGGCCAGGATCGTAATAGAAAATTCATATTTCTTTGCTAATTCCGCTAATTGCAAATCTAGTAGGCTGTGCAGTGCGCTGCGTTTGACTTACGTAGGTATATGAATATATTTTAGTAGTATTTAGTAGTATATTTTTCGGGTTTGTAATTTTTTTAGTAAAACCATAGTGGTTTATTTTGATTTTTTTATTTTCTGCACTTAGCGGAGCCTTTTTATAATTTATAAAAAAATTTAGGGGGGGGCAGCTGCCCCCCCCTGCCCCTCGCTGGGTACGCCCTTGATTCAGCTTCTGTCATGATAGGAAACTTTTTGCGGCAAATTTTATCTTCTTTCCCTGAACCAAGTAGAATTTTTCGGGTTTTTTCCTCAAAAATTGAGGGGTGGAGTTGTGGCGGGAATTTTTTGTGGTTGTAAAAAATTCGGGTTCAGCAACCCAAAAAACTTAAACCAAGCCTGTTTCGCCCACTAATAGTAGGTCCTAATATCGTCTCTATTTCCTGAGCTTTTTGTCTTACAAGAAATTGATGAAGGTTTCTAAAATAAGAACCAACCCATAGACTTTTCCAACATTTATTTAATGTTCCACTTTCAGTTTATTTTCAAGCACGGAAATTTGTAAAATAAATCAAATCCTTTTCGATGATATCTTCTTCGTTTTGATGAACTCCTCTAACACGGAAACACCAAGAAATTTATCTATCCGGGGTAATACAAATAGCGAAGTACTAAAATTCAGTAAAGCTTCCAATACACAAATATATTATTATTCGGATGATTTCCTCTACAACCGACTCACTATATTTTTCAGTACTTTGGCAGCTTTTTGCTGTGGTAAGTTATTTTACAGCGTTGTGATAAACTTTACATGATTTTTTTTATTAGGAATTCTGGCATTGTCATTTGGCTTGATATTACTATGGAAATGGTACAAAAAATTCAATAAAATCTCACAAAATGGAAAAATTGCACAATTTTTTCAAGAGGAAAGGTTGATTAGATATCCTTTTTTTCTAGGTAAGCTTAAAATTTCTAATGACATGTTTATTGCTTAGCGACAAACGACAAGATATTTTATGCCAAATTATACCGCCCTCTACTGCATTATTAACTTTTAACGTTTGGGCGAGTATTGAACAAATCCGGAATGCAATAGTATACAGCTAATAATATAAAACAAATAAAGTCATGTCCCTTAGCAACATCGATCATCTTCGGCCGACTTAGTGGAAAATACATTTTTGTATTCCTTGGCCTAACATCGTACTGCTTCCAGAGAAAAATAACTAACTTATTATTCTTTAATCATATATCAATTTTTTTTTGAAAAAGTTTTGTCTTTCTAGTCTATGAATATGATGGGAGTAACGGATACAAAAGAAGAGTACTTGTAGTGATGGACAGACACAAAAAACAGATCGTTGTTTTGTCTACTGCTGGAACAGAATTGCGTGTAATTTTTTTTGACAGAAGCTCCAAAGCTGAAACACAACTTATAGCAATAAAGAAAAAATCAATACTTATCTTAAGATCCAATATCTTCATCGATCTGGTAGATAAAGGAAGTTATGCTTAATTTTTTTTTTCAAATGTTTCATCTGTAGGTTTTAATGTTTCCTTCCCAAAGTGCCATGGAAGGATTCACTAATGAAATCGACCTTTTCATGACTGACCATATTAGATGCATGAAACCAACTCAACTAACTCTTGAATGGCATGAAGCAAAACAGCGGATAATAACAAAATCACAATATCAATCTTTAGTAGAAAGGTTTTTCAGGGTAGCTTTTGCTCAAGCATTTAAAATTGAACATTCTATAGATGAGATTCTGGACGTAGACACTCTAATAGCTACTGAAGTAATTTATACGAGATTAACAATAGCAGAATTTGCTGAATACTTCAACATGAGCCGCAACCATGAATTTATTAAAAATGTCTTCTCGTTAGTCGATAGAGATCAACAGGGTTCTATTTGTTTTAGAGAATTTCTTGATTTTATTATCTTATTTGCTAAAGCAAAAGAGGAAGATAAAGTTCGTCTTTTTTTCAATTTATATGACATTGATCAGACTCTAGTTCTTTCAATTAATGACTTTAAAAAAATGGTTATGTGAGTGTTATGAAAAAAAGATTAATCTTTAACATCACATGAATCTGTTGTTTCTAGCTCATTTTCAGAACTGACGGGTGAAATTTTAACAAAAAGTTTGCTCAAACAATTAGAGGAATTGACAAAAGAAAAACTGGATCTCCGATTTTTTAAAAAGATTATTGCACATCAGCTTACCAATTTATCTCGCGCTAATTTGGATCCTCGAAAATTTGAAAAAAATATTCGAAACTTTTTGTCATCAGCTAGACAAACACTTTTAACAATGTATAGGTATGAAAAATGTATGTCTTAATGTTGTTATTTAAAATGGGTATCTTGAAGTTCCAGTACTGATTCAGAGACGAAATCAACAGGATACACGATGACAGTAATAGATAAACAACAGAAAAATGTAATAAGACATCCAGAGAAAAAGTCGCTTTTCCGAAAAATTCATTATAATTGGACGGATAACTTTGAAAAAATTATATGGTTTTTAATTCTTACCTTATCCTTAATATGCGTTTTAGTCTATAGGACATGGAGTAAGTATTGAAAAATTAATTTTATAAAATTTAGAAATACTTTTTATCGTTCGTTCGTCGGTTTTTCCATTTAATCCGTAGTAAATTCCTACTAAACACTATGCAGTTTACGCGTAGGTGCTGTTAAAAATGCCCTCGAACGTGTGTTTTATTTGTGATGAAATACTGAATAGTGATTTAGAGAAAATAACAACGGTGCGGGAAAAAATTTTGAATACGTCTATTGTGTCAAGTAAGAAGAGGAGAGATCTGCTATAAAAAAATCTCTTTCACGAAACCGTGGAAAGGAGAGGTGTCTCACACCACCTATGTGTAATGTGAGCGGGTTCTTTAACATAGACACTTTATAATTAGTAGAATCATTACAACTTTATTTATAAGAAACTCAGGTGAAGACCGGTTATAAAAAAACAAAAAAACCTTCTGCTCACTAGCACTTTTCTCTTAAGGGCCCCACACACTACGTTCTGTCTCGTCGGTTTTCATCGTCAGCTTGTTTTCACCACACACTACGCAATTTTTTGGCAATTGGACCCACGTACTACGGTTTTGGAACGAAATGTTGAACCGTCGTGCCAAAAATCCAGCTCGGACTGAATTTTAAACCGAATATGAGACACGGCCTACCACACACTTCGGTTTTAAATCGTCGTGTTTCATCGTGGCGATGAAAACCGACGAGACAGAACGTATAGTGTGTGGGGCCCTTTTTATCGTCGCGATTAACAACGTCGTGTTTCATCGTCAGCCTGTTTTCACCACACCCTACGCAATTTTTTGGCAGTTGGGCCCACATACAACGGTTTTGGAACGGAATGTTGAACCCTCGCGCCAAAAATCAAGCTCGGACTGAATAGTAAACCGACAATGAAACACGACGGTTTTCTAACACACACTTCGGTTTCAGATCGTCGTGTTTCATCGCGGCGATGAAAACCGATGAGAAAGAACGTAGTTTGTGAGGCCCTTTAGGGGTTAGGTTAACTGCAGCTCTCAACCCAGCTAGCACAAAACATTGCCAGGCTTTTATGCGATGTTTTTTAAATGTGAACCAACAAACATTTACATGTGATGTACCTTCAACGTTTTATTGACGTTTCACATGGAATAATATTGTCTTGCGAATGTTTTAATGAAACTTTCTTTTTTAACGTGCCAGGAATGTTACGGTTACGTTACACTGCGATCCTCCATTTTACATCCCAAAGAGATATTTTATAAATGTATTTTGTTAATTTACCATGAATATCTAAATGTAACGTCGCTTGTAACACCTATCAAAATCCGGGATAGAGTTACATCCTTCAAATCACTTTGCTTTCTTTATCGGATGTTTAGAAAACGTTACAACACAATGTCATCTATAATTTTCATTCAAACATTCAGTGGAAGTACTTTATAACGGATTTTTAAACATATTGGAGTTATGTTAGAACAACATTTTGGCAACATTTGAAAGAAAGGTTCCTCGTTCCCCACCTGTTTTTTATCATTCCAAGCGATGCCCACTGCCTGCACGCGTGCGAGCACCTATAACCTCACATTTTTTGGGGCTTTTCTACGATTTTACCCATTTTACCTTTGTGCAATGTGCAATGTGCAATAATAATTATTCTTTTGCTGTGATTGTGTAAATTAGTGTGAAAAAAAAAGTAAAAACACTCTCGATTCTTGGTTTTGCTTTGATTAGGGTCAACGACTGGAGAGGCGGTAAGTACAAACATGTTTTTGTACCCATTCAATTATAATATCAAATAAATATAGGGTAATTCAATATGCATCATCGTTCGCGTAAGCCAGTAAAAGCTCTTTCGGAAAGGCAAAAGAGAAAATTGAGGCAGCAGATTATAAAAGGCCTAAAACATAATTCTGATTCTGCCTTACTATTGTCCTCATCTCGAGCCTCTTCTAGTCAAAATGAGCCGCTTGGTCCTGCCCCAACCCCAATCAGGCCTCCTCCTCAATCTACGTCTGGATTTGACCGTTAGGGTCTTGAAAAGTTTATTCTCGAATTCCCTAGCTGAATTGTGTTCCTGGACTGGCAGGAAAGGAAATTTCGAAGTGGGGAATTTGAAATTGATGCAACTTAAGTAGGTATATTTGGCCTTCTGCAACAATTTATGTGATAATGTTTTATGGAGTAGAAGTCGATAAAAATAACGTAACAAGCATGAATGTTTATGAAAGACTACCCGTTGTCACCCTCTATTTGAAATTATGTATACAGGGTGTATATTTTAAGTGATACCACTATTGCTATATCTGAAACGGTGAGAGCTATACAAGGTCGGTTAAATTAGAAAAAAGTTGCCATTTTTGATGCCCATTTAAGATTCGTTTTCGGTGTTGCCAAATTCCTTTCAGTTTCTGAAATACAGGTTGCCAACTAGGGCCGAATTAAGGTGAAAGTTTGGTAAAAATCATTGATGATTACTTTTTAGATTAGAAACGTCGAGCAACCATACTTAAGAGGTATATCGTTAAAAAGGGAATAAAGTGTGCTTTCTAAAAATGACATAAAAATTCCAGGTCCGTATTTAAAAAAAAGAAGTTGATGATGGTAGCTCATCAATCACGAAACGTCGGATTCAAAATTTAAAGACGCCATGTTGTAGAGCGAAAAAAATTATAATACTTTCAAATTTAAATTCTGTCCCGAAAATTAATAGTTTTTGAAATAATTTATGGAATATTTTTAGGCGTTTCTTAGAAATCACCCTGTATTTCATAAACTAAAAGGAATTTGGCAATACTGTAAACAAGTCGTGAATGGGCAACAAAAAAGACAACTTTTTTCTAATTTAACCGATCTTGTAGCTTTTACCGTTTAGGATATAGCAATGGTGATAACACTTAAAATATACACCCTGTATATATACTAAATATTCTTCGACATATGACAAATACAGTGTGTCCCAGGGAAAACAGTCCACCCCGATTTATTGGGTTTGGGATGAGAATCCGGGAAAACGCTCGGACACGTCGATGTTTGACTTGAGGGGGAACTATTTTTCAGTTTTTTCCATCCCCGTAGCTTCAACCCCCTAGCTAGGGGGAGAACAACCCCCTAAATTTGAATAGGGAATAGGGGTCGTGTCATACCTCTTTTTAAAGGTCTCATCGAGTTCTTTATGGCCCTAGAATTTCATCTTATTATTTTCATCCGTAACGAAATGACAGCTTGTCAAAATCTTGGAAATGGACTATGTTTTAGTAGGAGTAAAAGCGGTACTTACCTCCCTTAATAAAAATATGATTAAAAATACCTACAATTTACAATTCTCGTGTACACCTCATTAATAATAATAAGAAAAAACTTTATTTCAAGTATTTTCATTAGGGGAGGTAAGTATCGCTTTTGCTTCCACTTAAACTAATAGTCTATTTCCAAGATTTTGACAAGCTGTCATTTCGTTACGGATGAAAATAATGAGACAAAATTCTAGGGGCATAAAGAACTCAATGAGACCTATAAAAAGAGATATGACATAACCCCTATCCCCTATTAAAATTTGGGGGGTTGTTCTCCCCCTAGCTAGGGGGTTGAAGCTACGGGGATGAGAAAAACTGAACAATAGTTCCCCCTCAAATCAAAAATCGACGTGTCCGAGCGTTTTTCCAGATTCTCATCCCAAATCCAATAAATCGGGGTGGACTGTTTTCCCTGGGACACCCGTATATGTCTTATACATTATTTTCAGCTACCACACACCATATGTTCAAATGCTCCACTAAGGCGTTTGAATTAATTGTAATGGAGTGGCTTCGTCATGCCAAACAGAGATGTTTGAGAGATGAGATCAAAAAATGAATAAGTAGTGTATTATGTACGTATATGTACCAACATATTATACCTAGTCCAATAAAATTTGAATCAGCAAGCTAATTGTTTTTTTTCTGAGTTAGGATATTTTCAATGTAGTATTTTTTCTCCTAAAAGTTATAAATATTTACGTTTATTGAACCTGCATAAATAATTCATAACAATATACTTCATATATGTTTATTGATGAAGAAAAAATTCATTTTGATATGTAAAAAATTTATTATTTTTTGTAGAATTAAGAATATGTACTTATACCTCTAAAGTTTAAAGTATGTATTTTTTTTTAAGATTTAAATTTCTACCGAAAATAATAATTTTTCACCTATTAAAATAAGTATTTTCTTTGTCAATAAACATAATAATGTAGCTTATTATGAAGTTCTTTGAAAATCTAATAGTAATGTTAAAAAGACTTCAATCTGTAATCTCTATGGGATGTTAGATAAAAGTCCCTTTTTGATGTTCTGTCAACGTTCAAAGCTAAGTTCTATAGATGTTCACATGCAACCCTATTGCGAAGTACTCAAAACCTCGCGCTGTGATGTTACGTCAACTTCTGTAGGTAACATCCATGGTAAGAACTATAAACTTCCATGTGTTGCGGACATTCGGCAGTCACATAGAGGTTACATAAACATCAAAAGAACATCGCATGGGAGGTTGAACTTCCCCAGCGCGCTTCCCATTAACGTAGATGGGATGTTCTTGTGCTGGCTGGGAATATCCTTGGTCACGTCACACCGATCAGCTGTTTAAGTGTTGCTAAGCTGTTGCAGTGTTGCTATCAGCCAAGGCTTCTGACAGAACACTATGATCATCACCTATCAGACAAAACCCTATCAGACCATAATATTATTCCTTCAGACGATGAGTGGTCGGTTGTGACACCACTTCCGTTCTGTTTAATCAGAGGAAAAGAAATTTCTCAAAGTCCTGCAAAAAAACAAGGACTTGGTTGAGGCTTTCAAAGACGGCTCACCAGGACGAGACTGCCTAAGCAGGCGACACGTTTCTATTGTTTCTTATAGCTTTGTATGGGAAAGGCCGAGAGACTATTTTAAACGATTTGAGATACTTGATGACTTTCAAGTTATAAGCAAAAAACTGCCAAAACTACCTTTTTTTTGAACTTTTTTTGCATTTTATTCAATGTTGCGTCAAGAAACTTTGTTGGCAAACCTTAGATTTGAATTCAGCACCCCGAACAATATAAGGACTGGAGAAAATCAAAACTACCCCAAAACTTTCCTACCAGAACACTATTTTATTGCACTACGAGTAAAAGGCACGTAGGGGTGTAGCGCTTCGAGCCATTTCATAAAAGAAAAGAAAGTCCTTCTTCAACTTCCGTTCAATAGATATTTTTTTAGGTACATATTTGTTGATTATCAGTTATCACCAAAAGCCTTGACAAATAGGTACATGAAAATTATATTGAAAGACTCGTTGAAAGACAGCTCGGAATTCTGACCACCAACGCAACGTTGGTTTTCACAAACAATTCTCACGCTTGTTACTCATTGAAAAAAAATAATTTGGCTTATTTAATTACTAAAATTGATTTTTTGGAACTTACAATTTTTAATAATTTTTAGATTTTTACGTACACTCTAACCTAATAGGGTTAAGAAAAATAATGTTTTCGATCTCAAATGCCACTAGCTGCTGTATTTTATATTTACATGCGCTTTTGTTTCTAACTATGTGTAGAAATATGACTAATGGTTTGAAAAGCACATATTTACCTCTGAATCATTTGAACTCAATGCATTATTACGCGGGATATGTTTTAGCATTATTTTCATGTAAGTAAATGGAATACAATAAGTATTGTTATACCAATAGTAAGAATAATTTTTAGTAATTCATGTTGTTGGAAAAACTTGTCTAGTTTTTGCGTTTATGGAGTTTTTTTTGGAAAGAAATTGCAAACTCGAAATTGTGTAAGTATTTTGAGCAAACTAAGTATAGGTTTATATAAAAAGGAAATAATGTTCTAGGAATGATGAATTGGAAAACGTTATGAAATACAAATGGAATAGTCCAGTCAGCATATCTGGTTTACTATTATTTTTTCTAGTATTCAGTATTTGTGGTTGTGTACTCATTAGCCTTAAATGCCAATTGTTTGCAGCGTTTTATTATGCACATAAATTATATGCCTTATTTACGCCTCTATTGATAATACACGCTTTTCACGCAGGGGTAAGATACATTTTTTTCAACGACTTTTCAAAAATCTTAAAGTAATTGTAGCCATCTTCATTCTACGTTATAATTTTGGGTCCAATACTAATTTATTTACTGGATTACGGTATTGGAAGGAACAAGAAAGAAATAGTCATTCCCATTTTGAAAACAGAGTTTTTACCTTCAAGTAAGTATAAAATTGCATTGATAATACCAATACCTAGGTACTATTATTTCTGTAAATCCAAAATTTATTGAAAATGAAATGAAACCAGTTTTGGACTTCCAGTTGCAACGTTTCCGTTGTTGTGTATACGTAGTTCTAAATCACACGAATAACAAACTATGAACCCCGAATAAAGTCCACACCAGATGAAAGCTCGCCAAAAAGATTCTAAAGCTTATCAAGAGGCGAGTCAATAAATTGATGTAAGGAAAATTTCACTTATAATACTTGAGATAACTGAGAAATGCGCGTAATTTTTGCTGCCTAATGAGAGCCCCATCTATCAGTAAAACAGTTTTAAATACCGGCTCCTAGTTAGATGAAAACTTCCTCCAAAATTGGTCAAATTAGTTCCGTGCTCGAGATCTCAACAAGTATTCCGATTCAGAAAGTTGAAGGTCCCCCCATAGTCCCCCCCGATTGAGGTCAGTCATACAAGAGCCATAAATATGCTATGTACTATTATAATTTGCTTAGTCGCTACTTTATATTGTTACGTATGCGGGTTTGTAGACAAGTGAGACTACTCTTCGAAAAATAATTCACCAAGACAATAACACAAAAATCACGACGTAATGAAGCACTATCACGATATTTACCTACAATCAATCAACAAGCTTAACTAGTCACAAAACCAAATCACAACTAACTGTCTTACTATCGACTCGCGGTGCACTAATTACCCGATTGATAACTTATTCGCTGTGATTTACAGCCAGACGGCGTCGCCTTTGTTGGACATGCTCGGTGGCTTCCGTGTATCGTGTATCAAGTCTTATATCCATTCTCTCCTCTCGCAGCTCAGACAGTATTCGTTCCTGGCGAAGTCATGAACTATCTGAGCCTGTCCTGGAGATCGGCCACGTGAACTGGAACTATATCTTCATCGGCTATGGTAGTCTACCAAACATTTCATCTACAGAAAGCAACATTTCTGTTCCAATCAACAGCATCGATTGATTCGTGCTGAGAGATCATATAAGCCAGGAGGAAAAGGAACACCTGCTTATCCCAGTTTCGATGGTGCTCATCCGCAAACATCTAGAGGTATTGATTGATGGTGCGATTGTGCCTCTCAACCATTCCGTCGAACTGAGGATGAAGCAGACTCGTTCTTGTTGTCCTAATTCCCAGCTAACGCATCGTTTACTTCGTCCGTAGGTACTTTAGACTCAAAACTCCACCGGTACCCAGGGTTGCCAGATCTATGAAATGAAAAAGCGGGACTGTTCTTATCCAGACGGAAAGCTCGCCACAGGCGAAACATTTTTTTCGGGTGTCACGCTCAAAAGCATAAGAGGGGGGAGGGGCTGTAGTGCTCAATGTATCCCCCCTCTATGGACCCCCTTGAGCAAAAGCGCAACAAATTTTTTGGAGCCACGCCCAAATTTTGTTAAGAATTCAACCAAAACTCGACCAAAAAAAATTCTCCTTTATTAATTACTAGCTGACCCGGCGAACTTCGTACCGCCTCTGAATTATTAAATACCTATTAAATGTTGTGTTAACGTATCTATTAGCTGAATTAAATTCAGTTTTTTTCGATGGTGAATTTGGCTTTGGTTGAAGAATATTAATGTTTACTCTCTAGATCAGAAGTCACCTAAAATTAAAATTTTACATCATCCCTTTCAAGGCAGCTTGTGGGCATTTTTCTTGTAAAGTGTACCCCTAAATAAATAAACTTGGGCACAGGAATGTTCAAAGAATGTAAAGAAAACAGAAAAAAATCTACAGCGCAGCCCTGTATCACTCTATCTGCACTGCACTACTCCATCTGTTCTACTCTATCTGCACTATTCTATCTGATCTACTCTTTTTGCACCACTTTATCTGATCAGAATAGTGGAATAGTTCTGTTCTAAATATCTCCAGTTCCTGAGCAGCATGGTTCTACTGCATCTGCAATGAAATTACCGCGCATCGGTAAGCTTCGTTATAGGTATCATATATGGCGCCGTATACAAAATGGTTGTGGCGGACTCATAACCTGGCTCTCTGCCACTCGACACCAGCCGGACGGAGCACTCCGAACAGTCGGCACGGAACAAACACGGCTGTCAAGGGATGCCTGAGAGGAGAAACAGAACTTAGCCACAGAACGTCAATGGTCAAGCGTCAAGAAATGACAGGAAGACCAGTTCGCGCTCTTTCGGAATGGACCAACAACTAAATAAAATACACAATTAAAACATTGTAATTCTATTTATTTTTGGACATTTTTATTGTGAAGAACAATTGAAAGTGCTTTCCTTAAATTGTTTTTGTGCAAAGTGTGTGACAATAAAATCCACATGGTTTGCAATGAAAATGTGACGGTAAACTTGGTATCGGTTATAAGAGATGGCGCCGTATGCGGGCTTATTAATTTTTTTCATAAATAAGTAAAAAAGGTAATTTTTTTGTTTTGTTTTTTTTTTTTGGATTTTTTCGATTTATTATGTTAGGATAGACAAAGACAAATCCAATAAAGCAAAAATCATAAAAATCAGTCCAGCCGTTCTCGAGTTATAAGTGCTTCCACAAAACACAATTGTGTTTTATATATATATAGATTATTAGATAACAAAATAAACGCTTCACGAATCACGACAAAACAACAGTAAACATCATTATTTATACGCTATCCTTGCGTTCGTTATTTTGCTCAAAGAGCAGAGAGTGCAGAGCGGAGCCGTAATCACGTGACTGGTGAGCGCACAGAGCAGTTAAACGCTGTATCAGAGGTCTCGAAATTTTAATAAACGAACGTGAATGAGCCTACACCGAGTACACTTTTTTAATAAACGAACGGTAAATTTATGCTCGGAGAACTCAGATCAAAATACCGAACCCACGGTATATAGAGTGGCAAAAAAGTAGCGCATAATAATACCTGTGTACCTTTTTGTATGAAAAAAGGTCCTGAAAAGCTAAAGGTTGTATGCACTGCACTACTTTTTTGCCACTCTGGTCTATGGTCTGTATGATCTGCTTTTATTACATTATAAAGAGTAAAATTTAAATAATTTTGTGATAAACTATGTTCTTTCGATGTGCTTCACAAAATTACATAATAATTGGATTTGAAAGAATGTTTTTAACATGTAAAATCCTAATCATTCACTTTCGTCACTAGATATTTTATCACTAGTGACGAAAGTAAAGTTTTCGGCTAAGGTGAAATATGACGAAGTTGTTTATTTTTTAACGGTCATAGAAAAAATGATTTTTGACGAAAGTTGACTATTTTTCAGTGGCCAGGAAAAAAGTTTTTTGCAGATGCTAGTTTGTGCAATGAGATTTGGATTTTGTTGGAATTTTTTTCATTTTTATACCTACACAACATACAACATTTATTATTAAAACCCAAGAATGCCCCGTATTTTGCAATGATGTTTTTCGGTAATGCCTCAGCAACTGTAACTGCTCCTTGGAGTTGGAAATACTTGACTGGCTATTTCAGTAGCAAATAACGGCCGGGCTGAAGTTTGTGTTAGTCGAGGATCTAATCAGCCAAGGCTGTTATTTGCAGTTATCGGCCGTGTTTCGTTCTAGATTTTTCGTTATACTGCAGATATCTGTCTGTTTTTTATATTTAACCGGTAGGCAGATAAATAACGGCCAGCGGCCCGTTAAATATAACTTTTCGATTTCAATTTCGCTCATGTTATATTAAGATAACAGTACAGTATCACGAAAAAATATTCTCAGTCCTAGGTAGAGAATGGATCACTTTTGTTCTGTGTCAAGTGTTGACGACAATAAAGTTCCAACTATGGACCCCTTGAAGCAGTGGCGGCTCGTGGTGTCCAAGTAAGGGAGGGCGACAAAAATAAAAAACAGTCGTAGGCGATTTTTTCAAAGATTTCCAAGGTCGCGGCCTTTGCGAATACAGCAAAGTTGCCAAAACTATCACCAAAAGCTTCTCCCACGACGCCATCCACTTCAATTAAAAGCATGTTTTATTTTTCCATTCTTTTTACAGGGTGGCGGTGCCCACCTTGCCCATATGGACGAACCGCCACTGCCTTGAAGATAAAAATAATTAATTATTCATGAGGCACCGCAGAAATAATTTGTCATTCGCTAGATAACAACTTGAGATACACAACAATAGCAACGTTGCGCCAAATGGAGATGATAGAGGCTTGAAACGTTTCCTGCATTAGCATGTTACCACTACAACCTTCATTGATACTAATATTATATAATAATAATTGTGACTTAATGTATTCAATAATAGTTTTTTTCTCCATTTTTCTAGATGTTATTTGCCTAATATTCCAACGCCCTGTCAATTTCGAATTTAATGTAGGCCAGTGGGTCCGGTTAGCAATCGGCAAAAATAAACCCACCGAATTTTATCCCTTTATCTTGTCTTCTACACCGAAAAGTTCAGAACTGCGTATTTACATACGACCAACACATCCATGTGCGCATCAAGTTCGAACCAACACTGAGGTGCCAAATAATTTATTTCCACCAATTCGGGTTCGAATGAATGGTCCCTATGGTCTGGGTCTAAAACAATGGCGCTTTTACGATTTTGCTGTAATTATTGTAGATGGTAACAGTGTTGGATTATTTGCTTCGATGCTCAGAGATATTCTTTATATTTTAAAAACTAAAACAAAAATCAATTGTAAAAAGGTTTGGGTATTTCTAGAAATATGTTTTGTCCTCTATAATTCATTTACACTTACAGATATATTTTGTTTGGTCAGTAAAAACGCAAAGATACTCTGAATGGATTGTGGAACTAATCCGAGAAGTGGAAGAAGCTGATAATGAAAACCTATTTTCGTGTCATCTATTTATTACAGAGTTCTATCAGAAATTTGATTTAAGATCTCTTATGATTTATATTTTCGAGAATTATTATCAAAGAATATCCGGAAGAAATATTTTTACAGGCTTGAAAGCAACCACTCATTTTGGAAATCCAAAGTATACCAACATTTTTGAAAGTATTCAGGGTTTACATGAAACGGTAAGAGATCTCTCTTCTCTCTATTAAAAATGATTCATGACTTGGAATTTTCAGGTTAATACCGCAGGAGTATTTAGCTCCGGATCAGCTTCTTTCAGACGAACTCTAAAAACGATCTGTAATCGAATAAATCGACACAATGAATACAAATTTGAATTTAATTTTATTGACAAATTGGGAATAGAGTAACTCCTGTGAAATATTTTATTTTATCCATATCTATATGAAATAAAGTAAACATGTTGTGCATTTGTGAAACTAATCCTTCTCAGGAATTTTATAGAACCATTGTTTCTTTAAGGCATGTACAAATAGGTAGGTAGGTATTATACAGTATCTTCTTTCGTTTATTACTTTGGAAGCCACTCCATAAATATTGTCGTTTTGAACGACTTCACGGCCATGTGCTTCTGCCATTTTTGGCGAATCTCAAATGCTTCACAAAATAATCGATACCTCTTCACAAACGTCGTTCTTTTTTGGCCGCCCGAGTAAAACTGTGCGGTTATAATACTGTCAGCCAGTAACTTGTGTTAAATATTTAGTCCCTATAAATGGACACATGGAATATTAAAAGCAAAAATACAAAAATATTAAAGTGAAGATCAATTCTAAACTCGTGTTTCTTGTTGTACCTACATCAAAAATTAACACACAACTATCAGCTGTCAACATAACAATATGTCAAATATAAGGGATGCGGTGCACAAAACAAAACTATATTCAGGCAAAGTTGCCAACAACAGCATACAAAACATTGAGTAATTTTAATGATGCACGATGCTAATGACAATAGTATTTCGTCATACATTGTTTCTTATTGCTCCTTCTACTCATTTAACCAATTCGAAGTGGACAGGAACTGGAACGTTTACTAGCCAGCACTGATAATTCAAGTTCCACTTTTCCGAAGAAATCACTTTTTCGAAGTTCTTTCGGTTTGTTGAAACTTTCGCGAAGGTTACGACTTTTTATCGATTTTCCCGTATAACTAAGAACTCTGAGTGTCCGTAAGACTGCGCCAACTATATATTTTCAATTCAGAAACTTGTGTTTTAGAAAACATTTATCTAATTTAATCAAACACAGAGGTAACAAAAAAAAATATAGTGATAAAAGCGATAAGTGATAAGTGAATTTTTATAGGTAGAGTAAATTTGTTCAATAAGAGTTTTTATTGTTAGTAAAGTAACTTTTTGATATGCAGAGTAGTAAAATATGGGGCATCTGATTCACCACATGCGTTACTTCCAACCCAGAAGGCACACAAAGTCTTAAAGACTTCTTTTTTAGGTCTGCAGGCCAAAAAAAAAGACGTCTAGAAGACGTCCATAAGATCATTTCAAAGAAAACTGAGCCACACTATTTGAGACAACCTGGCCTAAAAGTGAATAATGGTTTATGTTTTAAAAAGAGATTCAAGACATCTCGTTGAAGACATCTTTGGAATTTCTTGGATAAATTTCATAAAGACGTTTTCAGGCAGACGTTAAAAAGACGTTGGGTTTTGCAACATACGACGTCTTTAAGATGGCTTTGAGATGCCTTGAACACGTGAGCAGACGTCTAAAAAACGTCTTGAATGTCGTTTGGCTTCAATATAGAGCTCTAAAATACTTAAAAATGTGTCAGAACAATTTAGAAATTACTGAAAAGCTTCTAAAATGCTCCAGAACTCTTCAAGCCAAACTAGAATAGTTTATAACTTCAATCCAGCCATTTAGAATGTTCCAAAATACTTTCCAGCAGAATTTTGAAAGGCTTCAGAACAATTCAAAAGCCTCAGATTTATTTCAGAGAGCCTAGCGCCTGGAATAGACAGAAATTGACAGTTATAAAATGAGTAATAATAAGGGAATATTAGCAAGAAAATGTTTCTCTTTCAATTCAAATTCTTGTATTTTTATAATTTTTTTTATTTCAAGCTCTTGATTTTTCATTATTTCTTTATTCTAACTTCTAAACTTTCTTCTGGCTCTGGCTAGTATTTTTCATATTTTACCCGCCTGACAAAACTACCTGAATTCTGAACCCAAGAATGCGGGTCACGTCATAATTCCTTAAGAAACTTAAATAAATAGATGAGTCACCAGGGGCAGTGGTCCCGTTTAAGGGTTACTGCCAATATAGAACTGTCCATCTTGCAGGTGGCTGCTGGTACGGAAATGCACAAATGTATTATATGCTTCACATAAATGCCCTAATGAGAAAAGCGTAGGTATATTTGTGCAAGTAGGAAACATTAACCCGGGATTCTACAATGAGTCTTTCGTTCAAAGCATCATAAACAGTGAGAAACAAACATGCCTTAACTAAAAGTTCCACTCAATAATGAAATATTGCTTAGGTAGGTATCACTAAACGAAGTTTGACAGCTAAATCATGCTCTGCAAGCGAGTGAAATAAATCGAAATAGCTTCCAGCCCTCTCCTTAAGTGCACTCCAGAAGAAACAGCTTAGTGGCTTCAAATTATCAAGCAGTTTCGGAGAAAATCAAAGAAAACTTCAATCTTGAACCTCCTATATCCAATCATTTACCATTTACCTATGTATCCACATAATGTAATCATAATTTCGAGTAAAATTCCCAAAATAATAATATTCATCCGTGATTGGCCTTGGTCACGGAAATAGGCCGACGAAAAATAAATAAATGAAAAAATAAAATTATTAATACCTAGGCACTTTATTCAATGTTACATTGCATCTAAATTAATTTTACAGTAAATATAAGAAGATCATGGGAATGATTGGAAAACTCTTACTAATTAGTAACATAGTAGATCTTCCACATGCTTCAATTTCTCGTTCCTAGAATTTGAGAAAAAAATATAATAATGGAGATAATAATGTTCACTATCAAAATCGTACCAAAGGATGGTCATTATAACATCCGGTAAGCCTTCTGCGGGGCAGTGAGTTCAAATAAAGTTTCTGACACGGTAACAATGTACTGTTCATTTCTTCGTAAGTCCATACAGGTGCTGGTGAAATCCTTATAGGATCTGTTGTATATCGCGGTTTCGGGTTTTTCAACGATAATTTATTTTCTGCTGCTACGAAAGCCAGATTGCTGTTCGGTATCCGCTTGACATAATATTTTCTAGGAAATAAGTTTAGATTTTGATTCAAAAAATCAAGTATACACGACTTACCTCTCGGGAGTATTTAATTCACCGTGGAAATTGTCCTTGATAAACAATGTTTGTTGAAAAATGAATAAGTTAACTTTCTTCTCACAAGCAAAATATTTTCCAGCATTGTTTGTATATTCTTCTTCTACTTCTGGTATTTCTTCCTCGTATTCATAATCGCTGGAATTTGTATTTTCAGCAACACTATCATACATTTCCTGTGCAAACGTTAAGACAGGATCCATTAGTTGAAATAGATTAACTTCTGCGATACCGTAAAACATCTTTAGCAAAAACCATTGAATAATATTTGAAGCATAGTGTAAAGGCTAAAAATGTGTGAAGAAATATTAGGAGCTAGTATATTTTAATGAAGCAGTAAAAATATAAATATTAAAAAAAAGTATGTTCAGGAACTACATATACACGGCTTTCATTTCAAAACTTGCCACCAAAGTTATTTGGGTAAAGAGACAGATTTGTGTAAGTCGTCGAAACACGTCAATAAATTTATTGAGGGGGAATGTTTTTTACGTAAAACTTTGCCCCTTCAATCCCCTAACCCCCAGACATTATAGGTGGATAATTGGAGAATGATTTTGGGAGCTGCGTTGGACTCTCTGAACCTCTGCCACAACACTATCCAAATCAAGAAGCCATAGCCATCTATGAGTCTGTCAAAGGGATTTCAAAGTATAAAGCTGAAGAACATCAAAGAAAGAAAGGAAATAAATCATCCAGCGACATTTTGAGACAATTCGAAACATCTTGGCAACATCTCTTTCCTCTACAGAACTGAAGAAGGCTCAACAGTTCCTTTATTGTGTGAACAAGAATATTTTTTAGTTTAAAACTGGCGGAAGTGGTAAGACGAATATCATCAAGCATGAAATCAATACTGGCAGTGCTCATCCGATCCTCCAACCGCCTAGAAGACTTCCCATGAGCAAACAACAAGAAGTCGAGTCCTTAGTAAGCAGTATTCTTGCAGAGCGAGTTGTTGAAGAGTCTCCAAGTATCAATATTATTATAAAATAAAGTATTTATTCGATACTGGATATTTATTCACTTTTCAAATTTTAGTATTCAATGGTTAATTGGTGTTATGAAATTCTTATGCCTTTAAATAAAACTGCGAATAAGTACTAGATTAGCTAAACAACTATATAAAGCGGAGTTAATTATCACACACAAACTGTCCAGTTTCTAAAATTAGCTGCTTTTTCATAGTTCGTTTTTAATATACCTAGGAAATATTCCCGATTACAGTGTGTGGATATTTTTGGTAGCAGATGAATATATTTGATATATTTTTGTGAAGGTACTGAAAAAATATCTTACTGTTTGAAGAATGGTGCTAGAACTATTTCCCACTTCTTCCCAGCGGCACAAAGCTTGATAATCAAAAAAAGTTTTCATAAGAAATACGTTGTTGGCTAGCATTGACTCCAGTATATCACCTTCAATTTCGCCGAAAAACATTCCACTGTAATCATCATTTATATTGCTAGAGACTAAAATATATCCAGAATTATCTAGAACATAGCAAACTAAATTTTCTCCACATTTATCGCAGTCTGAACATTGATTCTAAAGAAAAATATTGTAAAATTTTTGGCATATTTAATAAGGTTTTTTTACCGATAACTTAGTAGTCACTTCATGCACGCTTGATTTAAGTTTATCTTGTGAAAATTGGTACCCTACCACAGATCCAGGAGCCTCTATTCCAGCATCTTTGGCAAAAATCGCGTAACTTCCAGTAACCAACCTTTCAGGATTATTTTCGTATTTGAACGGAACGGAATATACAAATGATTCAGTGTCATATTGATGCTGTAGTACAGCGCTTTTATACCACTTTTCATCGATAGCTCTCGGATTTAAATCCCCAAATTCTCTATAAAAAAAAGTAGGTATTATTAGGATAGGTACCTACATAAATCATAAACCGATTGATAACTGGTATTATATCTCGTGGTGATGACTCCTATACCAGCTTGTTCAACCTACGAATGAACCAGATTCAGTTGTAATTATAAATGATGCACCCGTAGAAAATATGGAATACTTTCCATACCTCGGTAGTCATCTCTCGACAAATGCATTTGCATGGAAAGCTGGGGTGAATGTGGGCGACTGGGAGGCTACAGCTGTGAATTAGGCAATTCGAACTAGCTGACAAGGGCGGTTTAAAGGGGGGGTAGAGGGGGTAATTACCCCCTCAGACAAAGTTTTTTTTTATACATTTATCAAATACAACAAAATTTCAACAAAAGACAAGTTCTACAAAGTACCTAAAGCATTAAAGGCATCGTATAAATATGACAGGCTCGCCCACATCAGTACCGACGTACCTTCTTCTATAGAGTGAGATAAAGGGTATTCCATTTGTTGGTTTTTGTTGACACATGCAACCTGCGATTTTTTGAAAAAATATTAAATATTTCAAAAACGGTTAAGTTTTGGTATAGGTGATTCCTAACAAAAAGTATTTAGGATTTTTACAACGATCCCTTAATGTAGTTATGTGTGCCATTCGTGGGAACATGCTGACCATTGCATCGCCGACCTAAGCAGTTTCTTGAGAACTGTGTAAGCTTGAAACCAGGATGCCCCATGCGAATAAACTTTTAACCTTCAGATTAGACATAGACTTTGAGCTGTTCACAAGTACTTTTGCTTTATTATTTTTGAAGTTGTAATTTTTAAATTAAAGTTAATTTTTTAAAAACGGTTTCTTTATTACCGGAAACGTAAAGTGGCGCAGTCGGTAGGATTCTTGAAAGGGCTTTCTCGTCGAAAAACCCTTCGGTCCTAATCGTTAATTCAAGAAACGAACCTTGAACCCGGAAACAAAAACTCTGTTAAACGGACAAGAACATTGTGTATTGTGTAAGACTTGTGTGAAATAGTTGTGAAGAGAGGTGAAGATTGAAGAAGAAAAATGAAGAGCTTCCTATTGTAAGTTCCATTTTCTTTACATTGTCCTTTACCTGTCTATGTCTAACTCCCCGGATTTATCTGATTCTGAGACGGAAACCAGTGAAAACGGGTCAATTTTAATTGATAATAGTAATTATTCAAATCAGTTAGATTTAAATACTTCTTTACATTTAGAAAATTTATTTTCGAATATTTCCATAAGCGAGAGAATCGAAACGATGGCTCCACCACATTTCGAAACCAAACTACTCGAAATAGTGCCAAAATTCGATGGCAACCCTTTAGAGTTAGCTTCATTCCTTGAAATAAGTCAAAAACTGATTTCGACTTATTGGAATAGTGAAGATCTCAATTGTGTGCAAAATCTCGCAATAATTTATGGAATATATGCTAAAATAATTGGTAAAGCTAGGGAAGTTTACAGCATTTGCGTATCTAAGGACTGGAAGACAGTCAAAGACGCTTTGATGGCACATTTTGGTGATCAAAGAAACGAAAATGGCTTATTGTTTGATTTGGATCAACTCAGACAATACGCAAATGAACCCCCTTTGCAATTCCATACTAGAGTTATGTCTAATTTAAGTGCTTTACATAATTATATTGATACCCACAATAATTTTAATGATCCAACAAGTATTGTTAAAAAGAATTTTTATAATTTACATGCTTTAACAATATTTTTGGCAGGTTTAAAAGAACCACTAGGTTCAACGATCCGTTCGATGAAACCAAAAGATCTAGCCGAAGCTAGACAGTACATCATTTCGGAAAGTAACATAAGACATTTACAAAAACCCCAAAATGATAATTTTGCTAATAAAAATAAACATCAAAATCAACAGAAGCAGAATTTTCATCAAAATAACTTTCCACGTTTCAACACTTTTCAGCAAAATTACACGCCAACACAAACGTTTCAATCACCCGGAAACACATTTCCGCGTGCCCCAATAAACGTTAATCCCAGACAAATGCCACCACAAAAATTTTTCACCAACCAACAAGTGTTTGGTTCACCAAAAAATGTTTGGAAACCAAACCCTCAAGCTGCCCAAAATTTTCAAAAACCAATACCAATGAGTGGCATATCTAATTTGCAAAAACCAGTACCAATAAGTGGCGTATCTCACGGTACCAATAGATTCAATAACCAAAATTTCCAACTACATAATGTAGAAAATGCACCCTACTATCTAATTCCAAATCCTCACTACGCCGAAAATTATAATTATTATTATGATTACCAAGGCTATGGTGATGGTAGTAACGACAATAATTATTCAATGCAAAACGATCAGGTTGACTCCCAAGATTTTTACAATGACCCAAGTAACGGTCAAACCGAAACCAATGAACCTGAAAATTACGATCAAACTCCCATTGAACAAAATTTTCAAGAGGCGGAGCCTCCCGCCGAGATGCCGTAGAAATACATGACATATTTATGACAAAAAGGATCTCCCTTAGGTTAAAATAGCAAATCCACCCTTAAAGCTATTAATAGACACAGGAGCTTCAAAATCCTTTATCAAACCGGAAATTGCTGAAAAATATTTCGAAAATTTCATAAGAAAAGAGCCATTCACAATTTCCTCTGTTTTTCAAACCACTACTAGAGACCAATGTGCCGAAATTCCAGCTTTCGAAGAATTCAAGTCCGAAAATAAATTGAAATTCTATTTATTCAAATTTCATCATTATTTTGATGGCCTTATTGGCTATGACACTTTAAAAGATCTTAATGTCAAATTGGACTTACAAAATGACTTACTTAAAACACCTAAAGCTCAAATTAAATTGTCACACTATGAAGCAAAGTCAAAATTACTATTTTTTACTCGAATTGAACCCAACACTATAGAAATATTAAACATCCCTAATCCCTGTAACAATACCAAACGGCGACATTAGTATTTACAAAACCTCGTTGTCTAACTGTATTTTAAAAGAATGCTTAACAACTGCGAGCGACGGCTATGCCCCAGTAGAAATTCATAACAATACTGATAGCGTCCAGGAAATATCTTTGTATAACCCAATTCCTGTACAAGCGTTCAATAAAGCCGATGTTGAAATCTATAATATTTCTATAGAAAACACACCTAATGAATTCCCTAATAGATTCGATATTGTCGATATCATTCGAACCCAACACATGAACGAGGAAGAGAAGTTTCACATAGAAAAATTATGCCAAAAATATTCGGACATATTTCATCTCGAAAACCAACCTTTGACTTTCACTAATCAAGTAAAACATAGGATAAAAACTACTGACGAACTTCCGGTCTATACCAAATCGTATCGATATCCGTTTATACACAAACCTGAAGTAGAAAAACAAATCGGTGAAATGTTACAACAAAACATCATTAGACACAGCGATTCTCCGTGGTCCTCACCAATCTGGATCGTACCCAAAAAAGCGGACGCCTCGGGTAAGAGGAAATGGCGTATCGTAGTGGACTACCGGAACGTTAACGCCAAAACCATCGACGACCGTTATCCGACACCTAACATAACGGACATACTCGACAAATTAGGCCGTTGTCAATACTTTTCTACCCTAGACCTCGCGAGCGGATTTCATCAGATAGAGATGCATCCCGACGACATAAAAAAGACCGCATTCAATGTCGAGAATGGGCACTACGAGTACGTAAGAATGCCCTTCGGTCTCAAAAACGCCCCCGCTACGTTTCAGAGGGTTATGGACGGTGTCCTTAAGGGCCTACAAAACCGAATATGCTTCGTATACATGGACGACATTATTGTCTACTCGACGTCCTTACAAGAACACATGACAAACCTAAAATTAGTCTTCCAACGACTACGCGACAGTCACCTAAAAATCCAACCCGATAAATCGGAATTCCTTAGAAAGGAAGTGGCTTTCCTAGGCCATATCGTGACAACAGAAGGCATAAAACCAAATCCTGACAAAATCAAGGCGATACTAAAGTATCCGATCCCAAAAACAACTAAAGAAATCAAAGGATTTCTCGGACTTCTGGGCTACTATCGTAAATTCATTCCTAATTTCGCCAAAATAACAAATCCGTTTACTAATTGTCTCAAAAAGCACGCGACCATTAATATAAACGATCCCACCTACGTAAAAACATTCGAAGACTGTAAAGTATTATTAACTAACGAGCCGTTGTTGCAATATCCCGACTTCTCAAAAGAATTTAACTTAACTACAGATGCAAGCAACTTTGCCATAGGTTGTGTATTATCACAAGGTCCGATCGGACAAGATAAACCAATAGCCTTTGCATCTAGAACATTAAATTCCGCCGAGCAAAATTATTCAGTAATTGAAAAGGAGCTCTTGAGTATTGTCTGGGGAACGCGCTATTTTAGACATATTTATTTGGTAGAAAATTCAAAATTATCACCGACCATCGTCCCCTTCAATGGCTAATGAACTTAAAAGAACAAAATTCAGGTTCACTTTTAGTTCGATGGCGTCTGAAACTCGAGGAATTCGACTATCAGATAATTTATAAAAAAGGCAAAAACAATACAAATGCCGACGCGCTATCCAGAGTCGAGATAAACGCAAATGAAGTAAATGATACTTCGCCAACACCACCTGAAAATAACGACAACAGCCTTGACTCAAATTTACCGCCTGTTTTGCAGTATATGCAAGAATACAACAATAATCCCGTTCTAGACAATCAGCTTCCGAGCACAAGTCACGGACCCAATGATCAAATTACAACAGCTTTTGAAAATAATGAAAACAATCCCGATGTTGCGACCGACAACCAGTCAATTGCTGGCCAAGCTGACCCTGATGAATTTAATAATAATGACACAATACATACCGATTCTGAAAATCCCCAATAAATTATTTTCTTTGTCAAATAGTCATTATAAAAGTCGAAAATAACCCCCGAATTGAAATAGAGAAAATTTTCCAAAATCCTGTAAATAGAACCCGATGGTATATTTACGTAACAAACGATTCTTTCCAAGCACAAATTCTCCAATACATAAAAGAATACGTAGAACCAAAAAGGCAATACGTCTTTCTTTTTCAAAATGACGAAGACGAAATGCTGTTTAAGCAAATGTGTAGGTTTATACCGCAAACATTTAAACATGCATCTTACAAGTTTTTGAAATCTAATAAAATGCTTTGCGATGTAACTTAAGAAGATAGGCAGAAAAATCTCATTAAAAGCCAACATGAAGGTATCACCAATCATAGAGGCATTCACGAAACGATTGACCAACTACGCCTAAAATATTATTGGCCCAAAATGAATGATGATGTCAGAAAATTCATAAATAGTTGCTCAATCTGTCAACAAGTGAAATATGAACGTCACCCACCATTGATAAAATTGCAATTAACACCCACGCCTAAAAAACCATTTGAAACCATTCATGTGGATACTTTCAAATTTGAAAAAACTGTTGCATTAACAATTTGTGATAGTTTCTCGAAATTTGGACAAGCCTATGTCCTACCAAGCTTATCTGCCGTACACGTCTATCAATCTCTCTTACAATTTGTCTCAAATTACAAAATCCCAGAAAACATCGATTCTGATAATGGTACCGAATTCAATCAACATCTTCTTAAAGAATTCGCCAAACTTTATAAAATCAATTGGCATTACACCTTGCCCTTAAGCCCGAATAGCAACTCTATTGTTGAACGATTTCACTCTACACTATTAGAGCACATGCGGACTCTAGTTTTGTCCAAACCAAACCTAAATCCATTTGAAAAATTGAAGTTTGCTATTATAGGGTATAACAATTCAATCCATTCAGCAACAAAGCAGAAACCAATCGATTTAATTTTTGGTCACCTCCAATTAAAGGAACCAATCGATATTGATAACGATACCCAATTAATTAATCACGAACTAAATAAGCATAAAGAGATAATCTCAGATATTTATAAAAACATTCATAATAAAATGACCGAGCATAAAGAAAAAGTAATGTCTAAAGCCAACGAAAAACGAAAAGACCCTGTCGAAATTCAACCCGGAACAATAGGTTATAAAAAACTAACCGACCGCCAGGGCAAGACAAATCCTTTATATAAACCAGAACACGTCTTACAAAGTAATGACTTAACTGTCACTACCACCCAAAATACTTATCACAAACAAGTATTCAAAAATCCACGAAAATTTACTGACCAAACCCTTTTACAGGTTGATGACACTACTTCACCTGACGAGGGCACAGAAAGTTCAGATACAGAATCTTGACAACAATCCTGGCATACTTCCCTTCAAACTAGGAACTGCCAAGATGAAAATAGCCACCCACACATTCTTACATTACATCGATTTGACATCTTTGCAAAAGCAAATTGATTCTATAACCTATCAATATGAAAAGCTAGAAAACATCATTAATTCCTCTTTAATTGCGCACAGACTTCCGTTACTTGAAACTTATAAACACTTAAGCTACGAAGTAAACGTAGTCAATCAGAAATTAAAATCAATCAGTCCAGGACATAGATCAAAAAGAGGCTTAATTAACCCTTTAGGCTCACTAGTGAAATACATTACTGGTAATCTGGACCAAGAAGACGCAAAGGAAATACATGATAATATTCTGGAACTCGAAAGTAAACAAAACAAAATAATTGAAAAAGTAAATAAACAAATATCTTTAACCTCTAACCTAATGACAAGTATCAATCAAACAATGAGTGTAGTTTCGAAAAATCAAAAAGCAATCGAAAATAAAATTAATGACATTGCTAGTGATTTACACCAAACAAAATCCAATTACGTGCATTACCTAGAAATTCACGAAATAATGGACCAAATTAAGTTAAATTTGGACTCTGTGCTTAATTTTCTAAACGATATAGAAAATGCCATAAGTTTTGCTAGTTTAAAAACCTTACATCATAGCATAATTCCACAAAAAAAGTTAAAAGAAATCGTCAAAGAATTTCATAATTCTCACCACCACGCACAATTGTTATTTTCACAAAACGAATACATGAATTATTACGAAGTCATAGAAACCAATGTTTTTGCGATAGAAAATAAAATCGTGTTTTCACTGGATTTCCCTCTTGTGCACTCAAATATTTTCGATTATTACTACCTCTTCTCCGTACCTAATAAGAATCAATCCATCATAATACCACCTTCGACCTACCTCACCCTAAGTACGGACCTTTACCAATACCAAAATGAAGAATGCATCGACCTCAAGCCAAACTATTTCTGCAAACACAATCGACTTCTACCTATACACGAAAATCCTGATTGTATCACGTCACTGCTGACATTAAGCAACAATTTGGACCAACGTCAACAAGTACCAGTACATATCTAAAAAGCCATGATGGAAGAAATCGATTCCGCCCACTATATTGGAATCTTTCCGGAAGAACAAAGAATGCAAACAGACTGTGTAGAAAGCGAAGTAACTTCAATAACAGGAACCCGCCTTTTCACAGTCCCGCCAAAATGTTCAATAAAAATGCCTAAATATGTCTACAAAAATGAAAAGGACATATTTCACGGTCATCCAGTCACCCTCAACGAAATAAAATCAGTTCAAATTCCAGTGTCAAAGACCGATAAGATCAAATTAGAGAAAATCCTTTTGGACAAGCTACATGAACTTCAACTTCGGAGTTCAACAGAAGATTTTCTAGAATTTACCAAAATTCACCAAAGTACATACATGAATTGGCTTCCATGGATCGTAATAACTGCAATATTGATTTGCGGCATATATTTCGCAATCAAAAACAACAAGATGAAAATTTCAAGAATCCTGAGAAAACCTCCCGCTACTGAGACTATTGACGAAACACGAGTGATTCCACCCTCGAGTTCCTTCTAGGGATGGAGGAGTTATGTGTGCCATTCGTGGGAACATGCTGACCATTGCATCGCCGACCTAAGCAGTTTCTTGAGAACTGTGTAAGCTTGAAACCAGGATGCCCCATGCGAATAAACTTTTAACTTTCAGATTAGACATAGACTTTGAGCTGTTCACAAGTACTTTTGCTTTATTATTTTTGAAGTTGTAATTTTTAAATTAAAGTTAATTTTTTAAAAACGGTTTCTTTATTACCGGAAACGTAAAGATGTACCTAAATATAGGGTGTTCCATTCAAAAATAACAAAGTTCTTCCGGATACCCCATTTACGGACCATCCCTCGGAGCACCCTGTATATTTAAAAATATTTTTAACTAATGCACCTTAGAGAATCAAACAACTTTGTAATTTAATTATTTTTTTCTGCCTCCCCTGTAAGGATATCGTCCGATATCGCACTAAGTGGACACCCTGTATAACTATTTTGACGGCATCGGGATACAGTTGAGGCGTGTTTTTTGAACGACTTTCGGGTGCAAATTTGGGCGTGGTACCCCAAAAAAAATTTCACCTCCGGCGGTACGTTGCGTCACTTGATAATTTTCCTTTCATCCATTACCCCCCCCCCCCCAGAAAATCATGTATGAACCGCCACTGCTAGCTGCTAATTCAAAATGGCTACCCCATATAAATGTATGTCATTTCTACCTGTTTCAGAGTTTAATTTGACGAATTTTAATTTATTTCAATTTCCTTTAATGCTCGTACAGACAACAAGTAGGTAGAAAGTGCTACATACATACTGCGATGGCAAAAACTCAGTAAACACTGTAGTTCACTTGGACGTCAAGTTTGTTTTGCCCACGGTGTCACCTTGAGTATTAAAAAATTGACAGTACGTCAAACATCAAACCGCTTAATGGACCCGTGTCGTATGGCGACGAAGTATTCATCAAACCTCGGGGTATCGACAAAGGCGAAGGGATACGAAGAAGAAACGAAACTGTAGAAAAGAACGTCAACGTCGGATGAGAGCTGGTTGGCCGTTGCGCGACCGTTGCGCCGGCTACCGCTGATTAGGTGTGCAATCAATGTGGGAGAAATTGTGGGTCCAGAATGGACCTCACAGATAATTAATGCAGCCAAGATTCGTATGATACTCGTTAACGAGTGAATGCCTATGATGATGATGATGATGATGATGATGATGATGATGATGATGATGATGATGATGATAATGATGATGATATCTCCTGGTAATTTTTGCGACAATAAATGTTGACTCTGTAAAGGTTTATCTTCGACATTTTTTTTTATCTCACTGCTCAAAGCATATGATATTTTACTGCCTCTGATATAGTACGGCTACGCAGATAAGTGAAATTCCCATTTCCTAGGTACAAATTACGAAATAAACGGGTTTTCAACTTTGTACAAATTGTCACAAAAAATAGGTCTCTGGCTCTCATATTAATACTGAACTGACATGGTAGGTACTGATACGGCGCTGATCATGATGTTTGTAAATAGACTAATAGACCTAACACCTAACCCTAGATACCTGATACCTGCTCCACAAAAAGTATGAAAACTGATATTATTAAATCAAAAATAATAATTATACAACAACACTTCACAAAACTTAATAAAATCTCTTTACTTGGATTTTGCCTTTGTTTTTGCGTATTCATCAAAGATATAATCCCATCTCGTAAGTCCGCTCATTGTTGCCACGAATCTAAGGGTAACATTGTATTTATTGAATTTACTTAATAATTTTTCATTAGACTGAAATGCCCATTTTTCTTTAAATGGCTCGTATGTGTTTCGAGCATCAAAAATTAGTCTTTGAACTAACTGTTTATCGCAATAATAATCGTCATCACCAAGAGTTTTTCTTCCACATTCAACTAAAAAAATGTTTCAATTAAAAAAAAAAATCTAGCAAACGGCAATCAATATTATGTTTACTGGTATTAATATCTTCAGATTCTAGAGGCTCATATTGACGTTCCCATTTGAAATCCATGTCGTACATTTTCCCTAAAAAATGAATGAGTTCCTCTTCAGGAGTTTTAAATTCGTGACCTTCTAAGTAATGATATCTACAGTATATCCTACAAAGAGATGCATGATTATTTCGCTAAGGAATTTTGAAATGGAAAATAGTTTTCTTACCATTTGGGATGTACCTTCCATTTTCCTTTGAAAAAAGAAGTTAAATTTTCTCCAGTGTGTCTATTTTTCTGAATTTGATTTCCCACATCTAGAGAATAGTTGCCATAACGATTTGGAATGGCAATAGCTAGAGAAAATGGTGTTCCAGTTAAATGCGAAAAATAATAGTCATAAGCTTCTTCTGAGAATCTTCTGTTATCATCATAGTGATATTTCAAAATGACATTATGCAAACTGCCTTCAGAACCGTTGACTAATGCTGCGCGTAAATATCGAACAGATTCACTCATTTGACGAGGATGAATATCGTTATAATGCTGTTCTACTTCTGTAATATCAATGCTATTGTAATTTTCCTTCTCTATACCTTCAAACATCGGCTTTAATGCTGGGTGCATCAATACATATCCGTTGTTACTTACTATGAAAGCATAAGCATTGACACCAATCTAAAAATAAAAGTGAACTTTCAAGACTTTTCTCTTGGAATATTATTATCTACCTTATAAGGGCGTGTTAGTTTCATAAATTCTTCCAAAGGAACATCTGTTCCAGCTACACCTAAAAGTTCAGCAGTTCTGGTGTCATTCATCTTATTAATTTTCCTATCATAGCATGGTATAGCTGCCGAAGTTAAGAGTCTGTAAGGTTCATTTATAGTAATATCAGTTTTATCATCATACTAAAACAAATTATTTATAATAAGGTATTTGAGAAAATAATTTTGTATGACTCTTACAGTTATATCCGCGTACGTATGAGTCCACGAGACAGGATGATCTTCAGCTTGTAAAACTAGAGGCCTTGCTACGACGTAAATATACTGTAATACGGATGCGGTAACTTGCTCTAATGTTTGTACATGAGTGTAGTATCCTGAAATGTAGGCAGATATCTAGAAATACAACCTTTTCGTTGCCTCAGTCCTTGTTTGTGGAGGTTTTTGTTAGGGCTGGTATGTTAGGTTGAAGAATTTTTTGGGTGGATACAAATTTTAGCCGCTCTGATTGCTTTAAGTTATAAAAAAAAAATTAGCGAGTCTGCTTGTTCTCGAGACACATCTCGTTCGGTAATAATAATACTAAAAGCGAGCATTATAAAACTATTTTGACAAATAACTAAAAGTTGACTTCTGGGATGACTCGACATGTGACGTCATTCCAGAAGTTAACTTTTAGTTTTTTGTCAAAATAATTTTTTAATACCCGCCCTAACTGGCAGCTTCAATCGGAGTGGATTCATTCACTCCACAGATTTACAGCAAAACATGGACATCATCAACATGAAAATCTAATGCCACCTTACGCCGCAAGCGCTGGGATAGCTGCGCACCAATCACTGCGTATCTCACATCCGGTATCACACTTCCGTCCCTATTTTCCAAGATTTTACCCTCATACTGCCGACAAAGATATTTACACATCAAATCAACGAAGTTATCCGGCGTTTGTGGTTATACCAACCGAATCATACTGTGGATGTCATGACTAAATTCCTGCAGCGACTCCGATGGGCCTTGGACTCCTGGTTTTCAGCTTACTCTGACACGCAATGGTGGTAAAACATTAGGTTAAACTAACATAGAGATCTACAAAGGTCTTATACCGAATCAATGAAGCACCCTAAATGCATATTCCAAAATGGATAATACAATGATAATACTATATTATAATATGTAGGTATACTTATATCTACTATAGGCAAGTTGTAGAAGTAGACTGGACTTTGGGAATGCCAAGTTTTCCCAAATCCTCACAATCATGTAAACTTCGAGATGCAATATGCTTCTCGTCTCGTAAAGAGGTTGAAACCTTGTGAGTGGAAGTGGTCAAAGGGCATGCACTAGTAAGTTATATTTTATTGCAAACAGTATTTTAGCTCTTTATGTTTAGATCAACTTGGGGATGGGTCAATAAGAAAATTCATAACCATACACAAAAAACCTGACACCTGAAAAACCTACCTCTATTAGCACATGCCATCCACTTGATTTCCTCCACATTTGTTACTTCCTGTCCTATCAGATATGTGAATATTCGAACAGGTATAGTGCTATCATTAAATAAGTGATTATTTTTCATTACAATGTCACTATAATTAGCATTTACCCCGTCTGTTAAGATCATGATGGATTGATTACAATCAGTGTTATTTTCGCCATTACAGCCACGAATATCTCGGTACTAAAATAATTTAAAAAATTAATAAGATTTTTATCTAGATTTTTGAAATTATTTTTTCAGAAAAATACCACATTATCTTGTATTATATTTATGTTTTTTTTTTTCGCCTTGCTAATATTATACTGTTGTAATAAGCGTGTGGGTATATGTATATGGAGTCGTAAGAATGGAGTCACAACAACACTCTGGGTAATAAATAATGTATCAGTATTTGAGCAAAAGGAAGTTTCTGGAGCGCAAAACATATAGTCCCCAGTACATCGAACCTAAAATTTTGTAACTCATGTACACGCCAAACTTCCTGAGCGGCTTCATAACACCAAGTCGGACAATTTTGTTCATATCTTCAACCTGGGCGATGGGACATTGTCGTGCTAGCTCTTCGTGAAGTTGTCATTCTGACGTCCCTGAGAATTTTAATTCCATTCGACTGTTTTTTATGTTATATTAACGATACCACATTTGTCGGACAAAAATCTCGTAGCATTGGAGGGGTCCGACGACCTTAACATGTTGCTGTTGGGGGTGTCCGACCCCCCCAATGCCACGAGATTTTTGTCCGACAAATGTGATATCGTCAATATAACATAGAAACAGTCGATTAGAATTAAAATTACATATACATGTATCACCGTTCTCAGGGACGTCAGAATGACAACTTCCCGAAGAGGTTGCGCGACAATGTCCCATCGCCCCGGTTGGAGATATGAACAAAATTGTCCGACTTGGTGCTATGAAGCCGCTCAGGAAGTTTGGCGTGTACATGAGTTACAAAATTTTAGGGTCGATGTACTGGGGACTAATATATTGAAAAATATTGGGAAAATTTTTGACAGGAGAAAAATATGGAAACCTAATTATTACCAGAGAATATACCCACCTAACGAATGTTCAACGGCATATTGCCTAAGAACTGGCGACGGTTTTATTTGCGGTATTTAAGCAAGGCTCCTATAAAGTAATGAATATACCAAGGTATTTAATTTTGAGATTTGATTCACCATTGTTAATTCTTCTAGCAAGTTCAGCATTAACTTCCAGTCAAAAATTAATCTGTTTAGGAGTCCAATACTTATTTTCAATTAATTTTCAAAGCCAGACTGATCATCCAACCCGAACAAGACTTTCAAGGCAAACTGAAGTAGTCGAAAATGAATAGGTAGAGATATGTTGCTATATATTTAGATACACTGATCCGTATTCGAGCTGGTCAAAAACCATCTTGAATGCAAGGACAGAAAAACACTATTTTAGGCGCAGAATTCGTATATGTGAGTGTTGCATTAAATAAAGACGGGTCATGTTCCATTTTCAGTCGGTATAGGTTTAAGGAAATGTGTGGAGAAAATATTGGCTTTACTGACAAACCCAAACTGAAGACGTCGCCAGATTTTTCATCTAATGAAAGTCTTCTGATTGATCAGATTGTGGCCATGACAATTAAAAAATGTTGAACTCATTCCGATTTGACAAACTAATCTGAACCTATGATGGCCTATCAGAAGATCCCTCTGGCCTACTAGGATTCGGCTTAAGTTCAAGTTGACAGAAGGCTCACGATTTGCATATTAAAAGAGGAAACGCTTATGAAATGAAATACTATCTGTTGCTCAGTTATAGCACATAGGATATTTTTACCTTATTAAGAAGCTCAAATGCTATTGCCAATGCTTGCTCAAGTAGAGTTTTTCCATTAGGTTCTAACCTATCAATTGCATCTTTGAAAACATGAATGTTTTCCTTCGTGGCTTGAACTAAATGGTTTTCAAAACATGGCACTATATAGTCCGTAGTTTCCGAATAGTTCAAAACATTCACATAGTCGTTATTGGAAAATGTATCCAGAATGCTATGAGCTGTTAGTGCTCCTATATGTCTTCCCATCCCTTCAAAAATATTTAGATATAATAATTTAAATGACCCATATTGTTGATATACCATCCATGGATCCAGAATTATCAATAAGAATGACAACATCTTTGGTGCAAGTGGCAGCTTCAATAAACCAAGTTCTAATGCGACAATCGAAAAGATTTCTGTTAACATCCCTCCTGTCTGTCCAGTGCATTGCTGGAATAAGTACAGCGTCGGTCGTTAAATTGTGTAAACGAAAAAGATATTTGGTTATAACTTACCAGGATAATGGCGCATTATTCCAGAAGCACTTCCAAAATATTGCCAAGAAAGTGCAGGATCTGATTTATAATTTTGCGCAAATACTTTGTCTAAGGCTTCCGACCATTGAATTGCTTCTGCAACTTTGTGTTCTGAAAATTTAAACTTATGATACCTTAATCAGAACTAGAAGTTGATATGGCAGTTGAATCTATTATATATAATAATCGAATAATGGTTATATTAAGGGCAAATGCAATTTATAAATAATTTACACACACACAAGAGTCAGCAACTATAGTTTTATAGATAGAATACACTAGACCTCTACTTGCATACCTCAGATTTTACCTTTATCGTATACATTTGTAGGAACATGAACGGAACTATGACTGGTATTGACGGGTAAATTATAGAAGTGAGTATCATTATTTAGTTTAAGGTTCGAATACATGTTTCGGTTTCTCTTGAGCGCTTTTCCTAACTTAGCAGGTTCAGCGCCTTCTATAGATGACCATCTGGAACTGTAATATTTAAAAGGCATGTCAGGGACATATTCAAAATTTTCAGCTACTTCTTCAGCTTCTTGTTGTATGCACTAAAAATAATTAATTTCCAGTTTTGTGAATATTAAAGATTTAGTTGAGCTACCTACTCTTATTGCGTCCATTTTTCTATCCATCATCCTTAGAATATTTTCCTTTATTTCAGTCAGTAGTTCTGTTGGGTCTTTCTCGCCTACTTTTGCATTCAAAAATGCATATTTCTAAAAATAAAATAAAAAAAACACACATTATTGAATGAATATTATTTATTAATTTATATAATAGGAATATACTGATCGGATGAGTAGTTATAGTGTTCCCCATTGTACTTTGTCGCACTGATGTACAGACGTGAGCATTAAAAATGGAACACCCGATTTTTCCTATTGGAAAACGGGCTCACCAGTTACACCTTCGGCAATGACAGGGATTGTCATATTTGACAAAAAATCCGTTGTAGAGAAAAGACTGATTTACCCAAAATAGCGAAAAATGACAAGACCTGTCAGTCGGGTGTCCCACTTTTAATGCTCACGACTGTATGTTGGGTTGAGTAGGTATGTTTCACTGGCAAAATGCAGTTGAACTATTCGGAGTTTAAGCCAATTCAGCGTCTCCAAAAAATTAAGAAGCATTGGCCATTGCATTGCATCCTTATTATTCTCGATCCAGAAACTTGGCGAAAGCGATTTTGGTATTGTTTACCGATAAGGCTAACTTTAATAGCAACGGAAATGTTAACAAGGATAATATGTATTAACTTTGGGTCAGCAATAATTATTGGGTCACCCTAAATATTAGAAAAAAAATTATCCTAGGCCTTATTTTCAGAAATTTTACTTGGCGAAATTTCAAGTTGTACGAATTTTTTTGCTAAGGGCAAATATAAATGCCAAGGTTGTGCTAATTGGGACAGTGAAATCACTTTCAGTGAGCTCTAAGACTTTCAATACAATGAATCCTGCTAGGCCTTCTCAATTAAACCGAAACCATCAATAGTAATAAAGATTACTTTGAAAAATTAAATACAATGTCACAACCTTAATTACAACAGCTTGATTTAAAATAATGACCCTACGCCTGGAATCCCATTTAGTACTGGGAAAGAAGTAGGAGTAACAACCTCGATAAAAAATCAGGGTTTATTTGGCCAAATGGCCAGGATCATAAGCACTCTGTGAAGTCTCGGCCAGGATACGGCGAAGAAGCTACTTCCTTCAAACTGGGTACTATTTTTGGAATTTTGAATTGATAACAAAGATGTTATTTGAAAACCGGCACCGTAAGAAACGCCGCTAAAAATACACTAGTTCATACGTCAAGGCGCAGCGACCATTTCGATACCGGGCTGCTCTCACTTGCAGTAACGTCACAGCCGCGGGAAGGTTTTTTTTCCTTTTGTAGAGAACTTTGGAATTGTATGCCCATCCCAATAAACATATATAAAAAAAAAGTTGAATAAGCCTATTAGCTAGTCCCCTTGTTATAGGGGATTTGGACATCGGGCTACTTCCCTGTAGGCAATTCGCCCTTTTTCTGAAATTGGTTACCGTTAATCTCTCCTTCAGAATTATTTTTATTTTTGTTTTTCGGTCGTTTCGGAAACAGCAACCTTTTGCGGGATGACCAATTTTGTGGCAATGTGTGGTAAGGTAGCCCAGTTTTATTAGAACCTTTGGAGGCTGAAGCAGTTGAATCTTCTGAAGACTTAATACGTTCTTCTTCTAGGAGTATGGGGATTTCCTCCAACTTTTGGGCACAGCTTTGGCTATCCGCTGTTACAGATTCCCATGCAGACCTGAAATGCTTAGATATATGTTCTTGTGAAGACATTAAAACTTTTGTCACAATCTTTTTATCTGGCAAAGTATTCCTCGGCTGTCTTTTAGTTTTTATTAGCTCTACCTATTCTTGAAATGAATGTGGCTACTGACTCACAGTAATTGAATTCTAGCTTCTTGTTACTGTAAGTGGTTTCTCACAAGAACCATCTACATCTGACCACTGCTCCCCACAACAACATAAATTTACAGCTTACCATTGTAACTTCATCAATAGACTACTCATCGTCAAATAGCATATCATAACCATTATGACCCTGAAATCATTGACACACTTAGTTAAAACTAAGTTAAAGAAGCTTTGGGAAAAAATTTACCCCACCATAAATAATCTGACAAATAGATGTGGCATTTCCTTTTTTGGATCCAGATACAAATACAAAAGTTCTCCAAGCCCTAGAGAATATTAAAATGTCCTATACGACTACTAACAGTTTACATTTACATTTACACCTTGTCAATTCTAAGGATAAGCTAGACCATCTTTCCAGTAGTGGAATCTAAAAATTAAATTGCAAATCATGCGATAGCAATCACATTGCATTGGCCGCACTTCTTGTAGACCAACTTGAAGTGCGCAAACAAGAACACCGTACAAAGTCCACCTCAGCCTTTGGTGAGCACTTCAGAGGCTGCAACCACAATTTTATTCCACGATCAAATTCCAAAATATTACATCAAACAATTGCAACCACTTGGATTTATTTTATGGAGGACACCAAGATTGGGAGGAAGCCTTAGGACAATTTCTCTTGTCTGAACAATCAGGTCAATCTGAACAGAGCCTTTACACAGACAACTTTCACATTGAATTTAACAATTTTCTTTCAATTCATTAATTGGACCCCTAACACATACATTAACCAATAACCAATCTTAATCCACTTATACCATAGCAGAATTCCATTAAAATAAATTTCAAATTTTAACATGTTTTTGCAAACTTGATGACATTAAATGTGGCTCTTTCTATTTGTCAATTGAAAAAACCCATCAACATCCATGCACACTGTGATTATCTCAGGGTAGCACATAGTGAGAGGGTCGATTGTTTGTCCTTTGGAAATATTAAGTTGAAGTTAATTCATCATAACAACAAACTGACAGAGTCCAACTTGTGAGACTTGTTGGTGGATCATTAGCAACGTTAGCAACTCTCAGCTGGGTCAACCAACAATCGCAGGCGTGTGTCAAATTTAGGTAACACAAAATTCATCCAAGAAAAAAAAAAACAAATTACATATCTAGAAAATACGAAAATGAAATAATTATTATGATATTGTTCTTATCAAATCAAATATAGAATTTTCCACGACCTGAAATATTTATTCTAGTTACTCTATGAGATGTAGAAAGTTTTTCTCATAGGGCCGGTTTCCCAATAGCAAATCACCCCCCGGTTAAGCATAACTCCAAGGTAAACATAGCAACTGGACACGCTTACCCTAGGGCTAAAACCAACCCTAAGGTGACTCCCAATAATTGAGAAACCGGCCCTTACTTTCAGGTTGCACTGATGATGGCCTAGGCCGAAAACGTTCTACACTGAACTGAAAATTAATAAATTGCTCGAAATACAAAAACCTTCTTTATTTCTTCTATAATTCCCAACTTCCTAACGTGCACACAGCCCTACACTTTATTGTCATATTATAGTTATCTGGAATTTCCACCCTGGCCCATTTTCGAATTTCGATGTCCGTGAGTTTGTAGTGGTAAAGTCAGACAAATACCGTTTTAAAGTCACGTGATATTGGTGGCAAAAAACGTATGCTCATTGATTATGTCGTTGATATCACCTACAAAAAGCTACTGGTGGCTAATTATTATTGAATTTTAGGATATGTTCCCACCAGCATTTTACAAACGCGTTTCTGAAATAGTATTGACCAATCAGATGGGAATTTTAATACTTGCAATTGTTGCGAGACTCACTTTTGTCGCATCTGCTGTCCGTTGTAATACATTCTGAACTTGAATTGGTACCCGTTTCCTATTTGCTTCTTTTCGGGTTGGAAAAAGGCTAATATAGTCAAAATTATTGGCTGTGTTTGTTCGTTGTATCATTTTCGAAAATAACTTTGACAAACTATTGATGACAGTGACGAATTCTGTTTCAGGTAAGAATATTATGAACAATAATTAGACACCAATTTTTTTTTTCAATTTTACCATCACCGTTGTTTAAGATGTGTTCAACAAGGATAGAGAAAAATCACGTGACTTTAAAATGGTATTTGTCGGACTTTACTTGCGCTCAGTTTCCTTTCCGTTTTTATCATTTTATCACTTTTTTATCTGTTCTTTTAACTTTTGCTGCTTGGACCATGATCTATTGCTATATTTTTGAATGCATTGCATTAATAGACAACATTATCAACTTCAAATACTTTTATCAATTATTTAAAATAAAAAATTATAGGTTGCAGTTAGGTACACATAACGATTTTCAAGAAAGCAACTAATTATGTCAACTACTGTCCCAGGGAAAACAGTCCACCCTGAATAATTTGTGTTTTGATTTTTTTTTTAGAAATTGCTGAAACACGTTGAAAGATTTTGCGCGGGAGGCATCTTTTGACATCAGTTTTATGGGGGTTGAATCGTCCCCAAAGCCGCGAGAGCCACCCTGTTAAAAATTTCAAATTGGAATGAGGTCGAGTGCTATCTCGTTCTAAAGGTCTCTCTACCGAATTTGAAAAATTTAAAAACCTAATTCGTCCAATTAATTCGTTTATTTTAAAGTTATAATAGCCGTTTTCACCAACTAGTCTACGCCTGAAGGAGGCTGTATATAATTAGAACTCCCAAAACGACATTAACCAAATGGCTGAAAACACTTGGATGTAGATAAAAAATTTGCATTGAAATCGGTCAAGTGTCAAGTGCACAGAAAAAACACTTAGGGCCGATACTTTTGCTCTCGATTAAAGAATTTGATACGTCGTCAAAGTTTTGCATGGGCTAAGGTCTATATAAGTATGATGTGGTTAGAGTACATTCAAAGCCCTGATTATTTTTAACGGCTGTCAAATGAGAGCAAAAGTACCGGCACTTAATCCACCAAACAGATAACACACCGTTTCGCAATTTTGCGTTCGCCACGGCGCGGCGCCTAAAAACCTTCAATTTTACTTTAGAAAGTAAACATTTATCCAAAGAATTAATTGAAAGAGGCCATAAGCACAGCTTCCATAAGTATAATGTTTTGAACAAAATGATTGAAACTATGTTTCAAATAGTTATGTCAAAGTGATTTTCACAATGTAATGTAATGAGCTCTTAGAAGAAAGTAGCGTTTTGTCATCACGTTTTGCGAAATTTCTTTTGTAGCTTTTCATTCTCAGTAACGGGGAAAAATGTTTATTTGGAACTATAAAACATAACCACCATTTTTTTAGGTATCTTAGAGATAAAACAATAACTATTTTTTCATAGGAGGTATTGTGATTTTTCGGACTAATTGTATAGAAAAAACGGAAACTTCCTAATTGCGACTCATCGGTTGGCGGCAAGAGCAAGAGTATACTAACTTGTTTACTTTGTTTTTTGTTGCCAGTGAGTATTATAATTTACAAAAAAACTCGAGCTAATCATTCAAAAGAAAAAATAAACAGACACGAAACTCAAAAACTAAAAAGTAGGTAGGTTATTCTATTTTTTAAATATTTGGTGGTAAGACGCAATTTGAAGATTATTACCATGTATTTTTTTTTTAAATACCATATTTTGTTAAACCAAACGGCAACAACCTCTTACCGAGGTCTACCGTGGAATTGCAAGATTTATTATTTTATTGCAATAGGTATGTAAAACGCCCAACGCCCCTTAGTAGGTACTTTTTTTTTACTTCAAACGGAGGTAGGTATTTATACTCTTGACTCTAGAATCGGTAATCGGTTTATACTGGAAACAGGCTGTATTTTATTTAATTTGATTGTTTTTTTAACGACTCAGTTTAAGAAAAAAAAGGGCCTTTTTTAAAATATCACCAACAAAATCGATTTACGACAAGCACACCTCAACCTGAGCCTCCCTGTGGAAATACGTAGGTATACCAGCAACAAAATTTAAAGAATGCTTCTAAAACATTGATGTGAAAAATAAACAAAAAAGTCAAAGAAAATTGATGGTGGGCTCACATAGGTACATCGTAACTCAATTTGGTTGGGTGTCTTTAGTACCCTGTGGTGAGTTTGTTGGATAAAACAATTGTAGCTACAGCTCATAATTTTGTTAATATGATCCGTCAAAGTGACTTACCTGTTCAATTTCAGTAATTTTTGTCACTTCTTTTCCCAACATCCATAGCTCACCTCCAATTTTATTTGCCCATTTTGCCACTCTAAAAGCAAAACACACGTTAATCAACTGAGAACTTCTGTACCTACATTTATAATTTTGAGCGCTATAAGCAAATTACTTACTCCTCCCCTTGCAAAGTTGTGTGACTACATTTGAAATAAGTTTGCAAAATCATAAACAGAAAAAGCATTATAAATTCTGATGTGAAAAGCATTTTCCTTTTTCATCTTCTAAGAGAAAAACTGAAGCAGACAGGCGAATTGGCGAAAACTTGTATAGATCTCGTGAGGCCTATTTTTAGATAACAGAATTATTTTGAGAGACCAAATAGTGCGCGCCAGATACAGTTGTATATCAGGTTAAGGTTTGGAGTTTGGAGTAGGAGCGTTTTATCAATTTCTATACTAGCACTTACGGCTATAGGAAAACCTCGAAGGGATTTTTACTCCCACTGGCGTGGGAGTGGAGAACATTTTAATAGCGAAGTCGGATCACCTACAATTTCTAGATCAGCGTCAGGAGTTTAGGACCAAATGATTTTCTCTGTAAAAAAGTTCATACATTCCTATTACGTAAGCGTGTTTGTAGATAAGTAAGACTACTTCCAAATTTAATTTTTATTGAAGGCAGTTACTCAAAATCATGACAAAACTAGCACTACAGCAACACTGGTAATTATCTCATGAATTTGGCCTAATATAGCTGATCAACAATTTATTATCTAATTCGAAACTCTGCTTTATCGTCGTCGCTAGCTGCTCATATACCGTTTCCAAACCTTCGCCAATTACCCAGAAAATTCACTACTATAAAAAACGTCGATGACGGATTCCTTCAAGGCCAAACTCCTGAATCGCAGAGTCGCAGGGCATACAGCGGTCGATCAATGAACGCAACTTAAAGGCAATCTCTGTTATTTAATGACACTGCACCCTCGTATAGATTTGTTCGCCCCAAACATATTCTTCTGGAAGAATCCGAGTCATATTCTCGCCTCTGTATAGGACCAGCCCTTCCACTGTTCCCTGCCTTTGGCAAAAGTGAAATCCTATACACCAAGTAGTTGATCTTCTTGACCACCTTTCCTCGGTCTTTGTAACTTCCGGCTAAGTCCCCTCCATCGCTGTGGCTGATATAACCAGAGAACCAGACGGTGTCGCCTTCATTGAAGGTGTTCAATGACTTTAGCTTGTCGAGTCTCATCTTTATCTTGTCAATATTCTGTCCCTAGTCTATTCCTGCTAAAATCGTGAACCACTAGCTAAGAGCTCGTAAGCCAAAAGGAAGAGAGTATGCGTCTCGCTAATGTTCACCCGCAAACATCGAAAGGTATTGTTTGATAGTTCGAATGTGCTTCTTGACCACTCGCTCGAACTGTGGATAAAATGAAGTCGTTCTGGTTTTCCTTATTCCCAGTAACCTCATCAGTTGCTTTTATAATTACTCTTCTCTGATCGCTATGAAGTTGCAAAGTTAACCCTTGTCAGTCTATGATGTTTCATTTCTCCTCTAACTCGCCTCTTGCTTTTTTCCGCGAGAGCTGAAAGGTCGCACCTCTTGCACATCTCTAGGAGAGTTGTTCCAGTAATACCGATCTCTCAATCGAGCTAACCGTTTTATTGACTGCGGACTGCGGGGTGGCCACCACTGTGATTGCTGTGCAGTTCACGTAGAACTCTGGCCACCTTTGACCGTAGCACAACGGTCTGATAGGCTAGGCCTTTCCCATCTGGAAATCAGCTATACATTACACGAGCGATTTCTCGCGGGCACAATATTTCACATTGAAGCTAGTATTCCTTCAGTGTTTGACTAAAGGCGTTATTTTGTAATTTCTCCGACCAACACGCGATTTGACCTTCCGGATTTTTGAACTTAAACAGCCACTGCAATACATGGTCAGTAGTCGGTTCTAAGTATGAACCTCCATCCATAAAGATGACAGGTATTCCATCAGTAGGGATTTGATAATGGTGGCTACCCCAAGAAACTCTTTAAATATAGGGCTTCTTTTTGGTGGCGTATTCCCGGCTCCGTCAAGTTAGCCCCCCCACATTCGAATTTTCTAAAAAAATTGCAATCACTTACTGTGCTCGAAGTGTGCTTTACTGTGCCGATGATATTTTGAACTGTGCCGTTTCGATAACAAAGTAATAGGAAAAAATAGATGAGGGGCTAACTTGACGTTCAGCCCCCCAAAAATTTTGGAAATCAGATGAAACCAAAAAGGGTTCTTATCCAATCTGAAGTGTGCTGAACTGTGCCGTATCAGGTTTTTCTCAAATTTTCCATATTCGGTCATTTTCCGACAAAATCCTACAGGGGGGCTAACTTGACGCTCAGCCCCCCCAAAATTTTGGAAATCAGATTAAACAGAATTGAATTCTTATCCAATCTACAGTGTGCTGAACTGTGCTGTATCAGGTTTTTCTCAAAATTTCCATATTCGGTCATTTTCCGACAAAATCCTACAGGGGGGCTAACTTGACGCTCAGCCCCCCAAAATTTTGGAAATCAGATTAAACAGAATTGAATTCTTATCCAATCTACAGTGTGCTGAACTGTGCTGTATCAGGTTTTTCTCAAAATTTCCATATTCGGTCATTTTCCGACAAAATCCTACAGGGGGCCAACTTGACGCTCAGCTCAGCCCCCCAAAATTTTGGAAATCAGATTAAACAGAATTGAATTCTTATCCAATCTACAGTGTGCTGAACTGTGCTGTATCAGGTTTTTCTCAAAATTTCCATATTCGGTCATTTTCCGACAAAATCCTACAGGGGGGCTAACTGACGCTCAGCCCCCCCAAAATTTTGGAAATCAGATTAAACAGAATTGAATTCTTATCCAATCTACAGTGTGCTGAACTGTGCTGTATCAGGCTTTTCCCAAAATTTCCATATTCGGTCATTTTCCGACAAAATCCTACTGGGGAGGTAACTTGACGCTCAGCCCCCCAAAAATTTCGAAAATCAGTTTGAACAAAATTGTATTCTTATCCAATCTGAAGTGTACTGGACTCTGCTGTATCAGGTCATAGAATAATATCGATTCCATTTGACCCCTGAGTACGAAAACCTAGACCGTGTTGCCAATTGCAGCACGTTGTCGTTGTGTTTCTATCTTTGTAATTTTATTTTAATTTTAATTCCTACTTAGATGAGAAAAATGTACAAGAATTATATTATTGGCTAATTACAAAATTTTTTACTAGGTCCAACAATTTTTATATCGAAAAATGTCATGAATTTGTCAAAATTCAGTTTTCATACTTTTTCACACATACCTCGCGATATCTCCGAAACCAATTGAGATAATTTCATTAATTTTTTTTTATTCTTAAGAGATTATGTTAAAGAAAATCACTAAGATAATTTTGTTTTTCTGAATAACTCGCTTTATTCGTAAAACTTCAACTTCCACTTTTTATGCAGTATTTTTTTCAGTAAGCGAGAAACTTTTTTGTTTTAAGGATTTCTGCCATACTATCAGCGAATGAAACAAAGCTAAGAAATCATGGAAGTTTTTGAAAAAAACCACGATACTCTGCGATGCATAGTTTTCAATATATCGTCACTTGAAGTTGAAAGTTTTATCGGCCGTGCACTACTCCGGGTAGCTTCGCCACACTTAACGCAGCGTGCGTCTTTAGTGTCATTTACATCCACTTAGCTTAACGTACCTACGGAAAATTAATAATAAAGAAAAGTTGAAGATCATGTACTTATATGTACATATGTAGGTAGTTGTTTACATCCACCTAAAATTGAGAAAATTAACGTAACACACGGAAAAGTTGAACCAACTTCAAGTTAAGGAAATCCGTACGTTAATTTCAATAATAATGTACGTTAATAAGTTACGTTAAGTGGATGAAAATGACTTTGTTTTTTGAGCCTGGGTGCATTTTCATGATATATTTGAGCAAATTAAAATTGATAAAATCTGTAACTTTGGTTTTAAATAATAATGGCATAAATATTTGCTTTTCACTGATTATTTTCAATAACTTGGTCTTGGAAATTTGAATCGTGTTGTAATTAACAACAAAAAAGCAAGGGTTCGTTCTGTAAAATTCCCCAATAATTAGCAAAAAAGTGCATAGGGTATTTTTTCATAAGCCCTATGTATAAAAAAACACACCAAAATATACACATTAAGTAAATTTAAAATCTTCTAAATCATCATGCGAAATCGCGTCGTGTTCGGGAGTGCAAATACGCAAACTGTTACGACAGTTTGGATATTCGCAATCATTCCAACATTTTAATCCTTGCAAATTTCTTTTTCCAAATTTCCTACTACATATAGATATCATCTATTGATAAAAAATATGCAGTTCTACTATGTTCTAACTGTATAAATAGACTTTGGGAAAATGCTGGTATTGTGCAGTAAACATGAATAGGCATTAGGACATCGATATCAACAGCTTTTACCAGAATTGTGATAACTGATTTTAGTTCTGTTAGCACATAAGGTAATAATCTGGTATTAGCTTCTTCTTGAGTACTATTCTAATTTTTCCAAATGAAACAAAGTTCAAAATCCTGGAATCCACCTGTTATTATGACTGTTGTTTCATTTATTAGGCTTTTTTTTTCATGGTCGGCACACGGCACACACACAAAAGAAAAGTCCTATATCAACGACTGGAGTGTGTGTGGAGGTGTCGATGGACATTGGTCGCTGTAGGTTCTAGTTTTCGGGGAAGATGTGACTTTGAAGTGCATTATAGAGCGAGGCGGCCCTCCAGAAAAATGAGTCTCGAAACAGCGATGTTCTAGGTATTTATAACTGAACTGTATGTTGATGAGCTGTTTGTGCCTGACGAGTGCTCAATGGACGAGTGTTTCTGTTTGGTGCAACTTTGGGCGAAATCAGAAGTTCTAGCTCGTTCGAACACCCTCCGTAGTAGTATCGATAGTAAGAGATAGGTCCGCCACTTTTCACCGATGTTCAAGGCTTTGGAGGTCTTGGTCAACTCCGGGTCATCGATAAGACGGACTGCTCTCTTTTCTATCGAGTCCAATATCTTGAGCAAGTGTTTGGATACTGATCTCCATATTTATTTGCAGTATTCCAAGGATGCTCTTATCTTAAGAGCAGCAAAAGCTGAAATGGGGTATACAACTTCTTTATTCTATAGAAAGCCCATAGCTTTTGTGCTGCTGTCTTGGCGATTTTGGTGACGTGGTTACGCCAAGACATGTTATTTTCCACATTGATGTCCAATACATTTATGAATGAGGCCAAGACCCAGTGTTGGTCCTGTCATTGTTATAGGTCAGATCCTGCAAGTTTTGCCTTTTT